TTGACTATCCAGCCGACATGGTTCGCACGATCAGGCAGCTTGAGTGCTAAAAACCAAAACAGGATAACATGGTAAGCTAGAGCATGAACGTATTGTGGAAGATCGTCTGTCGGAGCGGGCTGCGAAACCTCCGATACCGTGATAGATGTTGGTGACGACAGCTCACTTATATGAGTATTCTTCTGAACCTGCCTCTTGTCTTTGGCGTATTCCAAGTATCGGAAGCAGATTGCGAAGACAATCCTAAACTCATCTTCCCTGAAGTTGATGTAAACATTATGCAATCGACTAAGGCAGGCAAGAAATTCCAGAATATGAACAGAAACAAACGGCTGTGTGATGATGGCAGCCATCTGGTTAAGCATCTGGATCAGCGATCTGCTTGTTGATAGAGGTAGCTCATGGCAACATATCGACAAGGCGTGGATACAACATTTGGCGCTTCTTTCCCAAGTTGATATCCCGTGGACAAACATTTTTACGATTTCATCCTCGTCGGACTTTGTAAAGTGCTCGTGGTAGCTCAAGATCATAGTCAAGCTGTGGTAGAGACAAATCGCTATGTCGGCTCGGCGAAGACCCAGGGCATTGGGAGGCTCTTGAAAACTGTTCAACCGAATCTGTTCACAGATCATCTTACGTAGTGCCTTGATTTGGTCTATCGCATCCCTGAAGATTGCGTGATTGCTCAGCTGCGACGGTAGATGCACCAAGACAAAGCTGTATATCTCCCAATCGCATCCCTGGAGCATATGCAATACCGTGTCTAGCCAAGTAGATAGCTGGAGAGCGCAAGGCTGATACTCTGGTCTCTCAGCTGCAGGCTCTTCGCTTTCCACCGCAGCCTCAGTCTGAACATGAGATCTGAGAACAGGGCTAATCATAGAAGGTACAGCCTCCGGCAGTGCGTTTGTATCAGGATACTTCCACATCTGGCAGTGTCGTTGCGCGGTTCGGCCTTGGCCAATAGATGACCCGCGTGTTGTTGAGCGAGACTGCATCCCGGCATCAATTCTTGAGAGACGAGCTGTATTTGCTGCTTCGTCGGCTTGCTTTTTCGCCATCGAGCTTTCTGTGCGATAAAGGGTTGTGGCAGTAGACATGGCTTCCAGGTTGTTGGTAATGAAGATTCGATCCGCCCAGTCCGCACGCAGTCTGAAAAGCAATTTCATGGCAGTCAGTCGAGCATCTACCTCGCAATGCTCTAGGCCTGCGATGCTGACCAACACATTGAAGAGCTTCACGCTTTTATCGTTGTGGAAATTCATAAGTCGTATAAACATTCTGACGTATCCTCGTGTGACGACGTTTGAAGGAGACTGTTCTACTGGTGATTCTGTGTGCTCACCATTGGCCTGTGAGGTTGGCAGCACTATTGGAGACGTAGGCGATGCAATGGGCGATTTCAGTCGGTCGCTGATGACGATTACACGCAATGCGTTGATAATGAAGTCAAAGAGGTCTATATCACACGAAATGACTACCGAGGTCATTAACGAGATGATAGCATCCAAGACTACGACGTCCACTTCCTCGATAACATCTTGTAGGATGGCCTTGGCAAGGCGAGGTATGAAGTCTTGCTCGTCTCCATCACCCACTAATTCAACGATCTCATAAGCATCCATCATGGTCTGAAGAGCACGCAGCCGAGTCTCTGAGGAGCGGCTTCGGTTATTGAAAAATCCCTCGAGCACGAGTTTTAAATTTTCTTCCCACCGAAGATCAGAGGGGGAGCAACACCGAAACTCTTGGAAGTAGTCGAGCACGGTACGCGCAGTGTTATCGGGAAGAAGTCGATGTACATCGGTGAAGAACTTTATGACTGTTTGTCTAGGGACAAAATCACCCGACTTTTGTGTTACCACTAGGTCTAGCCGAGCAATAAGCAGCAGGAGCTCTTGGGTGATGGCATCATCCATAGACGTATCCCTGACCCGGCCATCAGCCACCATATCAGGAGTTGCCTGGATCTTGCGATAGCACTCCGCTGCCGTCTCTAATGGAACCGTCCAATCCTCTTCAATGACCAAACGATGTAACTGCCCGTTTCCATCGTTGAATAGGGAGTTGATGAGTTGAAGAATGGCGCAATAAGTTCTTGCTGATGAAGAAATCTTGAGGGTATTGAATAAGCCATCCACCAACAGAGCATACGGAACAGTTGGATAGCCCTTTTCGGTCGTCTTGGAGAGCAGCTTCTGTAAGACAGCAAGAGCGCCCCGAATATCGCGCCCCATATCCTTGCTGCTGACTTCATCTAGCGATGGGTTGCGAAGAACATCGAGCAGGATACGAACTGATGCTTGGCCGTTGTGTGACTTGCAAAGGTTTGCCAGTGTGTGCCAAGACTCTTTCTGGAGGTTTGGGACGAGACAGAAGATGGAGCTGAGAACCTGTATCGTGTTCTTCAGTCTGCTGACGGGGACGGACCCAAAGGTAACAATAGCATCAATGGCAGATATGCAAGAACGCAGGTCCTCTTCAACACTCGTACTCATGCAAATGTCGAGTAAACGGTCGATGAGACCAGTTATCGAGTTTTGATCGGCGGTATTGAAGTTGAATTTGATGACGTCCATGATGAATGCAAAGAGCTGCGTAAAGTTTTGGTCTTCTCCGGATGCCGCCGCCTTGTTTTTGGAGCTTCTCTGCCCGCGAGCTACCTGGGAGGCTTTGCGAGCTGCACGGGCGGCATTGTATGCTTCTCGAAGCCACTTTGTGAGTAGAGGAAGCAACTCATAATCAAACCCGGCTAGTATGCGGCCACGGTTGGTGAGGTCCACCAGCGCGGCAAGCTGTAAATGAAAGTCGTCGGGGCTGGCTGGGGCAATTATCGTCTGAAAATACTCCTTGCGCTCCAAATCCGTCGAAGACGAATGCTTAACACATTCCGTCAATAGCTCCCAGCCGGCCTGTCGCATTGCGCTCGGCTTGCTTGCGTCGATAAGGTCCTTGGCAGCGTACCATATTTCAAGAACGGGGTTAAGCGGGTATTCTGTAATGGCGAATTTGAGGGTGTTTGCAGCTGATATACGTTCGCTTTGGCTGCCATTCTTTAAGTGCTCAAAAGCATCCATATGGTTCGCAGACAGGCCGCGAGAGCTTATTGGCGTAGCATTACTGAAGTCGGTTCTTGGAAGCGCCGCCACAGACGAGGCAAGCGGCGGCGGGGATTTTGTCGATTTTGAACCGGTCAGGCCACGGAAGACGCTGGCGATACCGCTGGGGCGTACGGAATCTGGGGAAGAAACATCATCTCCAGGCTGTGGGGACATGTGCTCGTCTTGGATGGTCTGGGTTTTGGTTGCGAAGAGAGACTATGCTAGCATGTAAGCACGAGAAGACGAGCCGACGACGGCATAAAACACTCAAAAATTAGAGACGAAAGCAGAAGAGGGAAAACACTGCGCAAGATGCCCTGTCGCCTTCCGAGCACTTGCTGGGGCTCGTCGCTATGAAACGCTCAAGTGTCACGCAACCAAAGCAGGATATGATGAGGTGTGCCGCACTTGGCAACAGACAAAGAGCGACTCACTCCTCAAGGACCATATATCCCAGACTGGACATCAAGGTTCCTGCAGACGTCTGACTATGAGCCCTGGAAAACGGCGACGGCGGCAGCAACGACGACAGCGCGTGTGCGGAAAAGTCCAGATTTGAACGGGAAAAAAGTAGGCAGTTGAGAGGTTGGTGGGACAGCGCAGAAATTTGAACACCTGCAGGCAACAGGTCTCGCAGGCGATGCAGGGAGAAAGTTGGAGAGGCACACCAAGAAGAGCCGCTATCAGCTCTGGTCAAGGACGCCCGGATCGGTCATCGGCTGGAGAGTCGGAATCGGAGTCGGAGCGGTCGAGCAGCAGCGCATCTGTAGAGGGCCGTGATATGGCGAGGAACTAGGGATTTCAGGGTTTTTTTTCTCTCGAGGTGCTGGCTGGCGAAGTTTATTGGAGTAGAACAGGTTGTGCAGGATGCAGGATGACGGAGAGCGAAGCACGCCTCTCATTTGCTCAGGAGGCCCTTGGGTCCAGTACATGTACATGTAAGGGTTTTTTCCATGTGCATGTGCCCTCAGCTTTGTCGCGGCGCACGGGCCTCGGCCTGGACCTAGCTGTAGCTGTAGATGTACCGGTACATTACCTAGCTGTGGCGGCAGTGGTAGCGCATGGAGCTGCACATCATTGCTGGCTCTCTGCCTTGTAGGCCCTTGATACGGCCACTAGACGGCGGGCGGAACCGCTGCGCCAGGACGCGGCAGCCAACTGATTGCAGCCTGGGCTGGCTCATGCCGCATTGATGTAATTTCAATGGTGTCCATGGATGGGATCAATGTTTATTATTGGTCACCTCATCAATTGAAGCCTTGAGATGCGTAGATCATAATTCATTCCTTACACGGATCATTTGTACATTACTGATAGTACTTCTGCAAAAATTGTAGGCAGTGTACCGTTACCTGATGCGGGTGTGATTCGATTCGGCTGCAGCCATCCGCAATGTCGATACTCGTCTGTTCACAAGGCCTTCAAGGTGGTGTACCTCTCTCTACCTTCAATGCATCACAGCTCCCACATCAACAGTAGTACCATCTAGTAGACCCATGAATATCAACACATCATGAATCAATCTCATCAACACCCCCTGCATAGCCAGCTGCCGACGGCTGATGACAGCTGACAGCACCGATCAAATCGCTGAGGCTTGTCCCCCCAGCTGGCCCACTTGCACCCCGCCGTCTGCACAAGCAAAAGCAGCCCAGCATTGAAGCAAACGGCCCTGGAAAAGCTCTCCCCCACTAGAGCCTTGTAAGGTCGGTCTCAGCAGAGGCGCTACCAGCTACGAGGCAACCACCAAAAAAAGTCGTCCATCTACAACAAACATACCGCCCATCTAAACACCACCCTCACTACAACCAATTTACTCCCTCTCCCCTCTTCTCTCCCTTTTTCTCTACATATAGCCCCCAATTTTACCTCATATCCAACGCGAAAGCAGTCACCATGGCGGCCGACGTGGGCCACATTGCACAGCTGCTCCAGGCAACGCTCGATCCTGCCCAGCACCGTGAAGGTATGTAATGCTTCTCGCCAGTGCCCCGCCCTGTTTGCAGATACACGGAGAGCACAAAACGCGTCTGGAGAGCTCATCGCGTGCTGACCAGCGTCCGACAAATCCAGCCGAAGCTGCCCTCAAGCAGGAGGCGACCAAGCCTCAGTACTCTCTGACTCTGCTCACCATCGTCAGCTCCGATTCATTCCCCGTCAACGCTCGGCTAAGCGCTGCCTTGGCTTTTAAGAACTTCATCCGACTCAACTATGTGGTAAGTTTCGATGCGATGCGATGCAATTCCGCGCCGCCTATACTATCCGCGCCGACACGTCTCCGAACGCAGTTCCCAAGATACTAAAGCCGACATACGTAGGACGCGAATGGAAACTACAAGATCCCGCAAGACGAGGTCCAGACGATCAAAGAGCGCCTCATCGGACTGATGATTGCCTCTCCCGCCAATATTCAGAGCCAGCTGGGTGAAGCTGTCAGCATCATTGCCGATTCAGACTTCTGGGAGCGATGGGATACCCTAACTCAGGTAGCTATACACCTATTCGTGGTTGCGCGAGCTCGATCCAGCTGATACTGACGGTATGATTTCTAGGATCTCGTCAGCCGATTCTCTGCTACTGACCCCAAGGTGAACATCGGCGTGCTGGAGGTGGCTCATTCCATCTTCGTTCGGTGGAGGCCACTTATGGGAACGTCTGGCTTATACACAGAAATTAACCATGTCATCAACACATTTGGTACTCCATTCTTCCAGCTGCTGGCGGTAAGAACTTCCCTACTTGACAAGTCTTCTCTGTTCCACTTCCATGGTTTCAGGATTCAGTGCTGATCCTAGCGCGCGCATGATGCAGACCACCGATAGCAAAATCACCGAGCTCAGCCAAGATAAAGCAGCTCTCCGAGGCTGGTTCGAGACACTTAGCTTACAGTTGAAGATCATGTTTGACATGTCTTGCCACGATCTGCCTCCCATTTTCGAAGACAACCTCTCCAGCATCTCCGAACTGCTTCACAAGTATCTAAACTACTCCAACTCTGTCTTGGATACCGACGATGATGACGAAGTCAGCGTGGTCGACACCGTCAAGGCCGACATTTGCGACTTTCTCGAACTTTATACCTTCAAGTACGATGCCGACTTTTCCCAATACTGCAAGCCGTTCATCACAAGTACTTGGAGTCTGGTTTCATCCATTGGCTCCCAGACCAAATATGACACTCTTGTCAGCAAGTCACTGCACTTCTTAGCGGCAGTCGCAGCAACCCGGGAACACTCTGAGCTATTCAACAGTGAGGAGGTTCTCACCGAGATCGTCGAAAAAGTCATATTGCCCAATGTTGCCCTGCGGGAGTCCGACATTGAAATGTTTGAGGATGAGCCAATTGAGTATATTCGCCGAGACCTGGAGGGATCTGATTCTGGCTCTCGACGAAGATCGGCCACCGACTTCCTCCGCAGTCTGCAGGAAAAATTCGAAAGCCTTGTCACCGCTTGTGTTTCTCGATACATCACGCACTACCTCGAACAGGGAAAATCAGATTGGAAAGCCAAAGATACTGCCGTCTATCTATTCCTCTCGATTGCCGCCAAGGGTGCCGTCACTCAGGCACAAGGTGTCAAAACCGTCAATCCACTTGTCAACGTGGTCGATTTCTTTGAACGGCACATTGCTTCCGATCTGGTGAATGGGGATGGCATTGAGCCCATTGCCAAGGTGGATGCTATCAAGTTCCTCTACACGTTCCGCAGCCAGCTGTCCAAGGATCAGTGGAAGGTGGCCATTGGCCCATTGATTCAGAACCTCAACTCAACGAATTACGTTGTTTATACCTACGCAGCTATTGCAGTGGAGCGTGTATTGTATCTGACGGATGATGCGGGCAACGCCATGTTCCCTCGTGCAGACATAGAACCTTTTGCGAAGGATCTGCTCACTCATCTCTTCAAACTAATTGAAAGAGAGACTAGCGCACCGAAATTGCAAGAGAACGAGTTCTTGATGCGATGCGTCATGAGAATTCTCATTGTCATCAAGGATGGAGCGGGTCCTTGGCTCGATACCATTTTGACACATCTCATCCTCATCACCAACGTTATGAAGTCTAACCCTAGCAACCCTCGCTTTTACTATTACCATTTCGAGGCCCTGGGCGCCTTGGTTCGATACTGCGCTGCGACACATGCAGCTGCAATTAACCAGAAGCTATGGGACCCCGCACATCAGATATTAGTTGAAGATGTTACCGGTAAGCTGCTCTTTCAGCAATACTATTATTATTTGTCCGCCCCCTCTTTATTCTAACAGCAAAAACAGAGTTCATCCCATACATCTTCCAAATCTTGGCACAGCTTCTGGAGTCTAGTCCAGCCGACTCGGTCTCCGATAACTACCGGGCGCTTCTTGGCCCCCTGCTGCAGCCCACTCTGTGGGAAACCAGAGGCAACATTCCTGCTTGCACACGACTGTTATCCGCTCTCATTCCCAGGGTAGCCAAGACTATTGTTGCAGAGAATCATCTTGAGGCTGTGCTTGGAATTTTCCAAAGACTACTCAATGGAAAGAAATCAGAGCTGAATGCATTCGATGTTCTCGAGGCGGTTATCAACTCGTTTGAGCCGTAAGTCAATTTCGAGCAATTTGTAGCCTTTATGGTACTAATGTTCTTATTTCACCAGATCCGCTCTCGACCCGTACTTTGACACCATTCTTACGCTCATCTTCACAAAGCTGCAAGGATCTCCCGCCGATTCCTTCAAAATCCGCTTTGTTCGCTTCTTCCACCTCGTTGGAGGAAGACTAGAAGCTGGCTACGGAACGGATTACTTTGTCAAGCATTCTGATAAAGTAGACGAGAAGGTCTTTGCTCAAGTTTATCCTCCATTCATTCTTCAGGAGACAGACAAGTTGGCAAGACCCGTTGACCGCAAGGCTGCCGTGGTGTCTCTTACTAAAACACTGTGTGATTCTCAAGTGTTCGCTCAGAAGTTTGCCAAGGGCTGGGGAAATACTTGCAGAATTCTTCTCACTCTGCTGGCAAATCCCCCGAGTGCTGCTGCCGGAGTCGGTGATGAGATTATCACGGAAAACTCTCCTGATGATATCGGATTTGGCTTGACGTTCACGGCCCTCAACACATGCAAGCCTGCTGCGCGGGATGATTTCCCAGAGGTGCAAAATGTGACTACTTGGGTCAAGGAGTACATGGTCGGGGCTAACCAGAGGCACGGTGGTGCTGTTGAGGGTTTCATCTCACAGCGTCTGACACCTGAGCTTCAAGAGGCCATTGCCCAGTACATCCGATAATTTCAGCAGTTGGGGAGCCAGATATACCAAGAAAGAGGGGAATATGATGATGCCATTTATCAAGAAGCGAAAAGAAAAGGAGCATAATTAGGCTTGAGATTGGGGCAGGAGTGGCAAGCTGAGACAAGGATAGTGATTAGTGACATAAAAACAACTAGTAGGCAAGGAATGGGGGTAGATATCATGTGAAATAGATAGGTACGTAGGTAAACTAGTAGGTAATACTCTACTTGCGCATGAAAAAATAAAACAAAAAATATGCGAAAGTAACCAAGCATGAACACGATTGAGTAGATGCATATGACTGTTAACAAGATTGAAGTATTCTTATGTCTCGTAATAACCTCCTTAAGTATTCAAAAGATGGAGGCCAATAACATACAGGAGGCCCAAACAGCCACCACCCCATCTCTTTCCGTCCATCCAATCCGTAAAAAAAGAATCGTGTGTACTTAAAAAACTATATGCTCGCTTCATAGTCACTTTAAATCGTTTCTCCTCCAGCGCCAGGTGGCGACCCCAAAAAAGAAGAAGAAGAAGAAGAAGAAGAAAGAGTAAGAAGAATAGAATATCTAATGATTCAACAAACCCCCAAGAAAGAAAGAAAGAAAGTCTTTTTTCCCCCACAACTCCTATTCGAAAAGGGGTGAAAAAAAAATAATGGCCAAGAAAGGGGGGAGAGAGAGAGAAAACTCCTGACATGATGAATACCAACGCCGGAGTCATGCTAAGGCTAAAATGTGGACCTCGTCATAATGCGTCGTAGCGATGCTTAAATAAAAGTGATATATGTATAAAGTCGTTATGTATGTTGTGACATTAGTGTTAAAGAGGATTCTCGCTCAAGCATGTGGCCCGGCCTGCTCGTATCGAAAATCACATCCGTGACGGCTTCTCTTGGTGTTTGGGAATATGCTGGAGAAGAAAAAGCCAATTGCTGCATTAATAGAGAAAGATGGCAGTTGGAAAAGAAGGCATCCATGGCATCTTGGATAGGTAGTGGAGTTTCCACGGCATGCTCAGAGAAATCCGCCTTCGGGACCAACGACACCAACGCTGTTGCGCCAGGGGCAGCGTCGATCTTGCTTCTGCCATTCTCGGCTCCTGGGTGGAGGAACGGTATCGCGGTGGCTCGCACCGTGGCTCACGTCGGCCCGTCGCGCGCTGAGGGGCTGCTGGGAATCCATCTCAGCGACGCTTGCTCGGCGGCTGTCTCCGCTGGTGTTGGTCTGGACTACCAGTAAGCTGCTGGTGCTCGAGAGCCTTCTGGTGAATTCAGAGAAACTCAACCTTTTGGAACTAGAGCCGGATCGGCGGTTGTCTGGGTCAGCATTTCGCGAAGCACCATCTTCGGCGGGCCTGCCGGCAGAGACTGGGTTCAAGTGAGGCGTGCTCTGTGTCCTCTGCGATGCATTGAGGCGGCTCTTGGCGTGGGCCGTATGCGGTCGCGAAGGGGGGGATTGAGAAGTGGGCGGTGCCGCGACCGCCGTGCCGGCGTGGTAGCTCAGATGAGCCCTGGAGATAGTGGGACGCCGCGATCCAGGTTCCCTGGGTGAATCCCCATGTCGGTCTGCAATGAAAGCTAATGCTCTTTGAGCCGAGGGGGAAATGATTGGGCTTCTGTCATAGCCAAGATCTTGCTCATCCGCAGAATGCGCGTTGTCATCTGAATCGAAATCCTCCTCCAACTCGAGAGGCGCGACCTCAGGATTATAGGTATTGCGCACAGCCGCCCGTTCCGCTCGCTGAGTCGCTTCTCTCTGTTTGCGCTTGCCCTCTACTTCGTGCATGAGAGCATCGAAGCGGGCGATGGAACTGAACGTCTCCTGACCAGGGACATTCGTTTGGGCCCATGGAATATGGCCCATCTGGAATGCCCTATCGAGGATCGTCTCTCCAGGGGCAGGTGGCGCGTGTACGTCGAAGCCCAGGGGCGCCTCCATTGGCGATCCTAATGCCTCACTACCACGCGTAGGCGAGCTGAGGGTAGAGGAACGCCCCTGAGCCGCCGTCCAACCCTCAATCAGCTCTCCCTGGTAAATCGAATCTCTGATAGCAGGCAGCCCTACCTCGCCATGCATCGGCCCGGTATAAATTTGGCCAGGAACCGCGAATGCCTTCTGAATAGGGTGCTGACTGATGCTAGATGGTGAGGAGATGTCGCTACGCTTGGACCGCAGGCTGGGCGAATCGGAGCTGAAGGTGGCGGGTCGCTCGCGAGTCCCCGATGAATACGTAGCGCTGGAGTTCTTGTGCTGTAGAGGCCGCACATCTGGACGACTGCCACTCGCTTGATTCTGATGTCCGCTGTCTGGCCTGGTAAAGTACTCTGGAGCTTCGCGGCTTCGCGGGCTGAAAGGGCTCGAAAATACCGGCGTAGTGTTTCCATCTTGTGCCATGGGGTTCTTCTTGGCCAAGATAAACTGAGCCCAGTCATGAAGGCTGGTGTTGTGATCATCTGGCAGCGTTCGGAACCACAGAGTACTGGTCCCAGCTTCTTTGCTCGCTATTAACCCCACGGATCGACTGGAGCGGCGCTTTCGCTCCTTGTCGGTTATGGTAACAACAAGTGTAGGCAGGATAGGTCCTTGCTTGCGGTAGGAAAGCATTTGGACTTGACAATCGAGGACGCAGCTCGTGGGCCACTGATAGGCGGGTTCCACATCATCCTGTAGAGACATGCGCCGGTTAGAAATTGCGTATATTCGACGAGCGGCAGGAACAAGCTTATCAGCGCGCTTACTTTAGACTTGAAGAGGGAGATGCAGTATTCGTCGGTATACACCTTGGTGAGAGGTTTTGGCTCAGAGGCATTTGACTTCGCACTACTACCAAACTGTCCAAACTGTCGCTCTTTCTGCTTGTTGATTGCAGTCCGTCTGCCAACGAGGATATATCGGGTCTGTAGAGGAAGTAAATCAGATGTTGCCCCGGTGAAAAAAAGAAGGAAGCTGTCAAGCATACCTTCCATTGCGCCTTGGAGAGAATGTGGTTTCGGTCCGGGGGAACAAGGAGAAGGCCGTCGAGAAACTCCATGGCGAGCGGCTGTGAGGCTGTGAGGCTGCTCCTGAAAGACAAGACACAGAAGGGGAAGGACGAGGGATGTTAGTCGTCCGGTTCTAAATGCACATGCTGAGGAGGAAAACGAGCAAAGACGAAATCGCCTCTCTCTCGACCGAGTACATGTGCGTAAGAGTATGAGGTCAAGCAGCCAGGCTCTTGAAGCGATGGAGAAAGTTGGACAATGGGGATTGTCTCCTATCTTGTCGTCTCCTCTTTTTTTACCTCGTCTGGTCGTCCGTCGGATGGAAACCGTACAAGGCTCAGCAAAGCGAAAACAACGAGGCCCCAGTGGGTCAAGAGATGGTATTAACGGATATCAACAAGAAAGAGAAGAAACGGCGAAATGAGGGATTCGCCGGAACGGAGCCATGGGGAAGAGGGAAGCAAAAGCTGAAATACTAGGCCTAGCACTTAAATGAAGGGCCCCGGGCTGGTTTTGTCCGGAGATGGTGGGGACGAAGCTTTAGCTGCCAAACCCGAGTTTCCAGACGACGATCCGGTATTCAGGCGGGCGGAACAGACCAGAAACAGACGCTGCGCTGCCATGCGAGGCGCACAGGCACGGGCAACAGGGCCCTGGAACTTGGACGGCCGCGCTGGAAACACTCGCTGAGGCGCTGTAATGACGGAGGGCCGCCACCGGCGCAGCGCTGAGAGGCGCAACCGAAGCCCACAGCGAAGGAACCAGGCGTGATCCATGTACCTGGCTGGAGGTTCGTGATGCAGGATACTTCCAGAATGAGTGGGCACCGGCGGAAATCAGCGCTAGATTGGGACGCAGGGCACGTCTCATCGTAACGGGCACAGGCGCCAAAGTACATGCAGCCCTCCAGCACTAGAAGCGCACGCCTAAGCCCCTGCTGTCCCCTAAAAGACTAACGAAGCCTAACGAACAGCCGGTGGGCCACGCCGTGGACGCGACATTCCAAGGGTTCCTGATAAATTGCATCCCCACCAATTCATTGATACTGCGCTGCGTCTGCATCTGCTAGTACCTACATGAGACCGTGGAGTCCCTAATAATAAGGAGGCTCTTTTCATTACCAATCTGCACGGGGAGGGGCAGCGATGGATATCATACTTTGCGAGTTGTGATAGTATATTAGTACCTGACTATCACTGCGGGCACAGAGTTGGTTGGTTTAGTATTCAATCACCGAGAGTACAATTACAGCCAGTACCCGAACCTAGGATACCGGCCGGCCGGCAATTGATTCATCCACCTCGATATTAAGTTACCACCGCTTCCCGCGCTGGAATGGACGGAATGGAGCATGGAAGTTTTTCAATTGCACTAACAAGTGCCTTGGAAGAGGTCGAATTCCAAATGGAGATGCGATTTTGCCACCCCATCTAATAGCGTATAGTACCGTACCCGTAAACCCGCAAACCCGCAAAGGTATCTTCCAAGTCCCTCCCGCAGATACTACGGGCGGCAGATACCTCCACGATACTAACAACGCCTCATGGAGTTCGGCCTCGGATGCGCCTTCATTTTCAAAAGGTTCCGTTTGTCCTTCTGGGAAAGAGCCGTGGACTTTGACTACCAACGAGTACCCGACAGTATTGGAAAGTTGCGTCAGAGTAGCGGAGCGTCCTGTGCTCCCTTTCCCCACCAAAAAGTCTCCAGCAGTAATCACATGTACTCCATAATCTCATCAGCTTCGAAAAAGTTTCTCCGTACCATCAACGCCTAGACTCCCGCGAACGGATTTCAGCCATATTGCTGTAAGAGTCAGACACGCTGCGAGGCTTGACAAATGAATGCACTGCCTGGGACTGCCTGAGATTGGCTTTCCATTGTCATATCCACTTGGGCCATTAGCGGTAAGTTGCCCTCGGACAGCACTGCAGTTACAGGTCAATGGCAGGAATAGGAGCAGGTGGTCATGTTCCTTGAGTCTCCTACCTAGCACTGACTGTACTGTCCGATGCAGGCCTGCATGTGCTTGTACGAGTAGTCGTACGCTTAGTTGCCTCGACTTCCAGGAACAAAAGTATGCGTTGCAGTCGATTCTGCTGCCAAGGACCGGGGCTGCCAGCAAGTGCCAGGCCATGAGCATCCGTATCATGTCGGGGTGGCGACGGGAGCGCGGAGTGGCTCCTTAATTCTCTTCTAGCAAAGTCTATGGAATAGCGCCTCGACGCTTGGCCGTCAAAACGGGCCAGCCTCGGCCAGGGGGCCAGGAACAGCACAACATCGCTGAAAAGCCACGGCTTACTTGTGTGGTATCATCACAGCAACACAACACACCAAAACGAGCCACACCATCGCAAACCTCCCTCGAATTCGCCCGGCGCCGAAAGAAAATGCTACTCGTCATGTGCAACTGGGCGCGAGTGCTTGGATTTACAGCCATACGAGCCCTGATCGCCGTGACTATGGCTGCGTCCGTCATTAGCCGTCTTGACCATCACATTTACTAGCGGTTCGGGTACACCCAGAATGGAGTAGGCCGTCGCCGCCGTCTGTTAGTTTACTCAGTCCAGATTGCAATAGTCAGCTCTCTACCAGTGTTATCACATCACCCTGCCGAGTACGAAGTACGAGGAAGGAGAGAATTGCGACTATACATGATATCATATTGGCATGCTCACACAGCCACGACGTGGCCCGTCGCATATCGATGCACTCATGAAACATTATCGTACTGCTCAGTAGCACAGGACACTATCATGCACGAATACTTCTTCGATCAAGCCCTCCGCCAGTAAAAAAGAAATAATCGAGGCTGACCTGATGCATGCAGGAGCGGGTATTATGAGATGGCGATTATGGATCCCGCCTCCCCACTGCCTCTCCATGCTGGCACTGCATGTATTGTATGGAGTCTAGAATATTGACAATACGAGTACCTACTTGCACACGCACTCGCATACAAATCGATGCTACTACAAGCATTGCACTACGCCATGAAAAGAGGCATCTATACCGCAAACTCGTACAAAACAAGGCAAAGGTGGCACACTACTTTGAAGAACAGATGCAGAGCCGAAAGGCTTTGGCTAGTCATCCGCCGAAAAAGTAGCAGGAAACATGGGAAATTTTGGTATAGCATGGAGCAATCCCGGTCCAGACTCCCCACCAACAAGGAACTTCATGTTATTCTTCTTGTCCTTCTTCTTCCCTCCCAAAGAAAAAAAATAAATCGTCACATGAGGAATATGCGCCACACTTACCGATGTTTCGGATCCCCCCCTAAGGCAAGGGAACACAGGCAACCCAGAAAGAAGAAAAGAAGAAGAAGAGAAAAGGAAAAAACTCGGGGAAGCCGGGGTGTTGGTGCTACACTCCTGGTGCGAGTACCGTACCGTACCTGCATGTCAGGCACAGATCTGCTCATTGGCCAAAATCGACCGTTCAACTAATGCACGGCTGCATCTCACGACGGTGGCGACTCATGGCATCCTGCTTCTCCTTTTCCGGGTCCAGCTTCTTGGACGGAATGCTACGTAGTCGGCGGCAAGCATCAGAATCAGACGATATGACGGTCAAGGCATGTGCCCCCATCCCAATACGGAGCCGTGCCACTTACAAGCACCGTCTGTCTGTGTCTGGATAAAGCATTCGGGGCGCCGGCGGTAAACACTCGCAGTCAAGAGCTCGATGCGCCCGCCTTTTAGCCGCTTGCCCCAAGATCTTTTGTTGTCGAAGCTAGGCCTCGGTGGAAAACCCAAGGTGACATCGGTGTCGAATTCATCTGCCTCGGTGCAGCCAATAAAGCTTCATCGATGGAGAGGACTGTGATCGCTAGCCTCCATCTTGATCTACGATCAGTTTGAAACTCTAGCTTATTGGCCGGGTACAGACACATAGATGGTCAGTGCTCTTGGAATCTTCGAGCCAACGTCCAACTTTGGGCGACGTCTGATGTTACCCTACCTTGTGCCGCTACCGTCTTGTTAATATTACTGGGGTGTGCCCCAGAGCTGCGCAAAATCTTAGACGACGAACGGGCGCCGATGTACACCCCATCCAACGTTCAGTGCGAAATCCGTCAGCGCCGGTCGTCTTCTCGTCGGTCCCGTAATGAGATGAAGAGCTGTGCCTCCTTGCATACTCGTGCATCACAGCTTCCCTTTTACTGGTATGTGATAGAGCAGCCTTGGAAACGCTTATCCAGAGGCCCATGCTGTGCCTATATGTGCGGAATTACGATATCGCCGAAGTAGCCCCCTTTATCCCGACTTACAGAGAAGAGGGAAACATGATACAGGTACAACTGATTACTGTTCGCACCACCAAATACACTATCGGCGCATCAAGGTCCTCAATTGCACATGTGTTGTCCTAAAGATCAGCGGGACGATTGACAGAGTCAAGCCAGTAATGCAGAGCACCCGTATTTACTACTACTACGAAGTAGTATCTTGATTGACTCCGCCTCTTGAACTTTATGCATCTCTTCGGCCGGCAAAGCTCTGTTTACACGATACTACTACTCTGGAAAGCAAGATTCTTGGCATATGGCACCACCTTGCGTTACTTCGATTTATAAAAGCACATCCATTGTGTAACCCATCATAGGTTCATGAAATAATGTGACAGGTAGGACAGCCTGACCTCTGCTGGGAACTGAGTTGCTGGTGAAACCTCCTCTTTCGTTTCCTGGTTGTCTTGCACTGCCAAAGCGGAGTGAGGACAGCCTCGCCAAGCATATCTGTGCTCGTCTTGCTATTACTTGCTCCCGGGCTCGCCGAGCCGATCTGTGTCTGTCTCTGAGAAGAAATACCCAAATAGAGTATCTGCGCTGCAGTACGGAGTAGATCCAGCACAACTCTGCTGCCATGTGAATCAACTCGGTGGATGACTGCTCCTCCTGAGTGCAGTGTAAGACAACATGGAAGACATGTATGTCAGCAATACGGATGTTTCCATACAGTCAAAGCGTTGCATCAGCCCCCAGCATGCCAGGAAGAAGACGCAGCAGAATACCCTAAGGACGATGCTCTGGATACTAAGCGGGAAAATCTTCCGGATGCTGACCTGGCTGCTTCCAATTGCCTTGTTATCGATTCTTAATTTGCGCAGGCGATCATGCCACATGCCACATGCAAGTCCGAGTGCAAGTCCAAGCCGAGCCGCAGAGGAGACAATGGGTCCAAATGCAAATGCATACCGGTAGTACTACCTACTTACACTGCTACCGTACTGCTGGCTGTTCATTTCGTCTTCAGGGACAAAGGGGGATGTACACCGATAGATCGGCCTGGTCGGATGTTACTTGGCCCATTCGTGTAAGCATCTACTCCGTACAGACGAGTTGTTATAGCCGGGTCAGAGACGGTGCTTCTTTACTCTGCTTATTGCGCAGCTAACTTGCTGCTCCAATAGTCCTTCTAGGCCATATTAGGCATCCAAGATGCTCGGTACTCGCATGGCCATGTACGGTCTCACGGTCCACCGCTAAGCTCTTTTTTGAATGTCATTACTTCGTTACGATTATTGGGACAGATGGCGCAGAGCTGCCACTGCTAGTGGTGTAATCGACAAAGTTCGCTCCTGTGCCCCTCGCGAATGCCCCAGATTGTGTGGGGATATTCTGCGATTCTGTTGCGTTCTAGGATCCTTGTCCAATTTCGTTAAGTCGGCTAGGCTCTGGCGAAAGCCGCCAAAAAGCAGAGCCAAAAAGGCGCAGCTACCAGAGCATCGGCAAGCCTTGACGCTTTCCGCGTCCCGATATCAAAGCTCTCTACTTGACCGTCTCTCTGCGAATCACATCCTAGGTCTCAGGAATCAGCGGCCAACACATGCCTGGGCTTGTTGAAGAAGAAAGGGGTAAGATGCCAGGAAGGCTGCGAGAGCCCAGGCGCCTCGTTTCCCTGCGGCTTCTTACGCGGCAGCACGCCAGGGCAGGGTAAAAAAGAACCTTCTCAAAGAGAATTTGGCACGAGCATGGACTCTTTGCCCTGGATGTTGCAGCGGCTGGTGCTTTTAATAGTACCACCTTACCTCTTGCTGCTGTCAGTACCACCATCCAACTGTCTGTTGAAGCGAGGTCCCCGATAGGTACCGAATGCTGGCTATCGGCAGTCTATCCACGACAGGGTATTGGCATCAAATCAAGAATGGCATGGACCCTGGATTGGTGCACCTCCAAGAGCCAGAGATCAGGGACGAAATCATCATGGACACATACGTTGCAGCATCCTCATCTTACCAATCGAAACTTCAGTCTACTAATTATAACAGCCCATGGCGTATTGCTATTACTAGCACTCTGTAAGTGCTTCATTCCTCTGCTTCATTCTTATGCGGAGCACGAGCACGGAGGATTACTGCCACGTACCAGCCTCATCCCAGCAATGCATTAGTCCTCAACCTATCTGCTACACCCCCAGATCTGAAGCTAAAAGATGAACGTCTGCTAAACACTAGTACGAGAAAAAAAGAAGAAGAAAAAGTAATAACTGATGAGTCGGCGAGAATTGACTAACCTGCATCATACTGTACATGGCGGACATGCATGGCAAACCGTCCAGGGCATCCCCCCGTCTGATGCTAATCCCAACTGAATACCGAACATGTCACGACTCTGCCGGCTGGCGGTTTCTGCTCACGCGACACCGCGCCATTTCGTGCTGTGCCCTTTCCTTTTCCTAATGGAACCCTCTCGTTGTCTGCTAGCATCTGTAGTTGCATGTGTTTGATTACATTTCGTCCTGTAAAGGGACGCCGGTTTGTTTTGTTTTGGGACTGCTGCTAGTCGTTGCTACTTGTTTTGTCATTGCGCCTAGAGCCGCATACGAGAAATTCGTTGCCCCTTTGTTATTTATCCGGAAACAACGGGAGGAGAATTGTGGCTTGATGAAAGGGACAGTTTCTGTAGGCCATGACACACATTATGTCATGACCGACATCCAAAGAAACACGCCTCCGCTGATTTCAGGCCATGCAACCTGCTGTAGACTAAACTCAGAGTAGCTGGCCACCTGTAACATGCACGAGCAAATAGAGTGATGACAGGGTGAAACACGGTAGTATGAATGAACCCTGCTGCTGTTGGATTAATATACAGTAGGCACAATGGCTGTGCTCTCTCTATAGAATATCGTGCTGCCAACTTATATGCTACCCATCAAACACCAGACTGTCACTTATGATAATGGCGGCACGTGGCACCAATTTAGTCGTAGAGAGTTGTTTTATTGAATGATGCCCATGTAAATAAAAACACTTCTACACACAGTTGTAAACCGCCCATGGCATCAAAAGAGAAGATAAAACCCTTGTAACATCCGCCGCTACCTCTTTGAACGCCTCCCATTAGACAGTTCAGAAGGTTAATATGAGAAAGGGGAGAGAGAAAAACTAAGACAAGTATACATAAAAAGAACAACAAAGAGCCTGATAGCGAAACTGGAAGGCTAAACCATGATCCCACTTGATGCTGAAGAGTAACGCTTTCGCGGTAGCAATGCATTCCTCCTCGTTTTCTTCCACAATTCACTTTGATTCGGGACAAGTCTTACCGAGAGCCTGCCGCCATGGTCTTCACTCTGGATGCCAGGTAAAGGTTTGAGGATGCCATCTGTTCTTGGACCAGCTGAATCTAAAACCCTGGCCGCAGATGGTTGCTGCTGCTCGACTTCATGCACGGGAGGAGACTGGCTGTGTCCAAGGTCGCCCGCCTGCCAATAACGACAATAACGCCATAAGCTCCAGAGGCACAGACGGCGGGTTAGGGTCAGACCGATACTTGAGCACCTGGGTCAGTATCTCGGCCTACGACTCGTCACCCATGCTCCTCCATCCATTGGACCCTCGAAGATGCCTTGCTCGAAGCTCGACGCTTCGTGCCTTGTTGGTCCAGCTACAACTCCACCGTTAGCATATCGTAACTCTTAGGCGTGGGCGGCTGGTGCTTACATTTTGATGCGGCCATCATCTCCACACGATGCCAGCATGCATGGATCTGCAGGGTTCCAGACTACTGCGTTGCATCGCGGTTGATGGCCCTGTAACCGTTCAACGGCGGCTCCAATGTTCTTGTGCCAGATGAGGATGTTGCCATCTTCACTCCCACTCATGACGAAGCTCTCATTGGCACCGCCGAATGCGCTGCGGATCAAGAACTCGCCCCCCGTGTGGCCCAGAAACTTGTGGACCGAATTTCTCGTTGCAAGGTCAATCAGCTGAGCCTCGCCGTCCTGTTTGTTTACTAGTAGATGCTTGGAATCATGGCTGATACTGACGGAGGTTGGCCTCGCCTTTAGCTCCAAGTCGTATTCCAGCTCTCTTGTAGTGGCGTCGTAGACGTGAATGTTTTGTAAATCATCCACTGCCACCAGCAGACGCTCATCGGGGGAACCGCAGAGGTCCTGCACTCGATGTTTTTTGTTCCATTCGATAATATCGTCGTCGTACACGTTAAAGGTGCACAGGCCGTGAACCTTGTCTAAGCTTCCCAAAACAAATGATTTACTGTTTGACGCCCATACACAGCCACTCACTGGTTCGGCAAACTTTCTAAGTGTCTTGATCAAGGTGCCAGTCTAGAAATATCAGATGTCAGTAACTTTCAGTTGATGTCAAATCCAATATTGACTCGCGGTTGGGTTGTTGGGTGGTTTCTTACATTTGTATCCCACAGACGAGCGTACTTATCAAAAGAGCAAGTTATAATCATAGAGTCGTCGGGACTCCAAGCAATGTCTCCAACACCTTCGGTTCCGTGATTTGGGAGAACATGGGTGACAGCAAAGGTTTGCGTATCCCATATTTTGACATGCTCTCGGCTCCCACAGGCCGCTAGACGTGTGCCGTCATGAGAAAATCGGACAGACCAGACCTCTCCCCCAAGATCGCCCAACTCCAGGGCAAATTCAGAGGGAAAGTTTCGTCGGTCACAAAGGTGATCTGAATACAAGGAAGGGGACGATGCCGCCGTATGGTAGAGACATGTATTAATCTGGCTCTGCTTGACGTGGTCAAGTAGTACTGCTAGACGGTTCTCCGGCAGCATTACGGATGGTGAAATACGTTCTATAAGTCAACAAGTTAGCGAAACGAGTCAATATTGCTAGTAGCGAGCGTTTGGGGATGGCTCAACTGGATAACTCAGACAGCAGCTTTCTTCGAGACTGTCCACGTGCCCCATCCCAGCTGGCCTTTTGCATTAAATCTTCAGTCGACTGGCACATTAACAAGCTTGATAGGAAATGAAGTTTGGTCGTATCGTGATACAGGGGTGTCAACTCTCCCCGCAGCGTCGTTAAAGCTCGAGTGGTATCCTTCTGTTCCAGTAGCTCTAGAAACTTTTGCTGCCGCAGCCAGAATCGCATGACGTCCTTGTCGGAGCCAGAAGTGAGAACAAGGCCGTTGCCCCCTTCGCTTGTCTCATCTGCTACTGTCGCGCCCCTCAATAGCTCTTCGGCCTCTGCCCACGACCCAGCAAGCACAGCCGATCGAAATGCTGCTACCGTGGGGCTCTCCAAACTGTAGCCGCTCTGCTGGCTAATGTTGTCAGCTGCCGCCTGATAGCCCATATCTGTCAAAGCCTGGATCAATATTCGCGTGACTTCCTCTCGATTATGTCCAAAGTATGTTGTAGGTTGTGATGATGAGCGCCTCTCCCCATTTGACGATCCGTTTGTCACGACACCTGCCTTTCGGCTGCCGTTGGTTGCCATAGAAGACGCCGCATCCCGCTGCAATGTTGGTGTAGTAAAGGAGCCGTTGGATTGAGCGATGCCGGACCCATTCGGTGATCCGGCCATATCCCCGTCGGACAGCATGTTTGTGCCTGCGCCGCCGCGCCGCCTTCGCTTCAGCGGCCTCCCAGCAGTTGCGTCCGCAGCGGCAGACCCAGCGTCTGCAGAAGGAAGGGTATTATGAGGCTCGCCTTCTGGCTGGTGGTCTGAGGACAGTCGTCTTCGCCGGCCTAGAATCTGAGAGGGAGACTGGAGCAAAGTCGAGGGAGCTCGGCTTGCACTTGAAGACGCTATATTCGTAGCAGTAGCCGGGGCTCTAGCAGAGCTGCCGATGGGGCCGGAGGTAGAGAGAGTGTTGAGTGCCGAAGACGACGTATCAGAGGAGCTCCGAGAGGCTTGCGGAGAGCTTGGGCCGTCGGAGACGTCAACCGAGAGGGCACGAGGGTTCAAGAGTTGGTCCACGTCGACCTCTGGGCGGCAGACGGCCGCGGAATGTTGGGGAGGAGCTTGGTGGCAGGCTGGCTGGGGGCCAGAGGGCGAAGGCAAGCTTCAATCTTGGAGAAGGTCGGGAATCTAGGGTTTGAAGCTCCGGGCTGTGAGAGACTGGCTGGCAAGTGACGGGATTCGGGCGGGACTAGCACATACAGCGTGGCTCGCCGAGATGACAACGATGCAAGCAAATGCGAGGCGAAGATGCTCGTGTGAGGCCGCAGCAAAAGCGCCGAGCAGACGGAACGAGTCGTCGTGGGAGCGTGCGGGATGAGGAAAATGTCGTCAGAGGGGTTGATGTCCAGATAGGCAGTTGTTGCATGGAGGATTAAGGTTCCGATGAGGATGGCGCCTGTTATGGGATCCGGCTCAGTGGGCAAGTGACGCCTCAGTGGCTGAAGCGGGCAGCTGCTGGGGAACGCCGTATTAGTTCAGATTTCAGTGGCAGCTACAGCGCCCGATTTCGGGATTTTCTCGCTGGAGCAGGGCAATCCTACAACTAAATATTGCTACTAGAGATATGGAACACGGGCTACATCGGTGCATGCATCCATTTGATTATTGATATTAATTTACAAGATTTGATGCTACATGATTGCAAGGTGGCAGCCGGAGGCGTAATGCGGTATCTCCCTATTAGCGGCCCGTGGCGACAAGCTACAGCGCGCTACCAAAGCGTCTTTACGGGTTGACGGCAAAACTCTCTCTCTGACAGCCGCTTGCTTGTGCTCGGGTGGTGTTGTCATCAACCTCACTAAGAGCATCATGGATATTACATACATGTCTGGTGCTTAATAGATCAATTTCTATAAGTACGATGAAAGCCAACATCAAAGCGTACTATACTGTAGCATCACACAGCGGCTAGTTTAGTGTGAAGCAGGGAGTGGAGAGGATGGACGGATTATGTGGGCAATGATACAAGCAGACGCCGGCCGCAAATACCCGTATTACTGCGTTGATGGTTTCAGAAACGTCGGTACATACAAGTACTTACCTAGTACTTTAATAAGGACCTGTTGAAGATCAATAACGATACTGTCTACTACATATACCAATGGATGACTTCCAATTACTAGATGCAGGGTACTCCGTGCAACAGCGCAAGTATCAAACGCAAGGAGGTACTTGCATGTGCTTGGCCATTGGCTCCTCTTCAGGGTCCTGTTAGGCGCCGATGATAATCTCCCACGTTTCTGCTTGCATGCTTCATAGCCACCGCTGTTTGGGCTGCAAGTATCCAAGCTGCATATTCGGTGCTTGTTGAGTGGCTCCCGATCCAGTTTCCCCTGCTTGAAACCCCGATGCATGTGCCATCTACGACTACTTGAAACGATGCCGGCTGCAAGGGAGGGCTGGTGAAGAGCATGGAGTGTATGGCTGGGAATTATCGCTTGAATACTCGTAGACAACTCTGAGCTATACAGGCACTAGCTGCCATACCTACTAGTACCTCGGCCTAATATGTTAGTAGATACCTGAATTCAAGTGGTTGGTACCCTTTGTTCTCGTTGAAGACTGAATCATGCGTTGGTACCTAATGAGCATTTGGGTGTCTCTGTGGGGTTGTTCACGATTTACTTTTTAGTCGGTAATAGGTCGTGTGAATAGTTGTTGTTACTACTAAGATATTGGGTAGGCAGACATGCTGTGCCGAGATGATTTCTTTGTGCTCAAATCTTTGTTTGCCGTTTTAATCCAGCTGTAATACTGAAAATAAATTGAATCAAGTTTGAAAGAAGGCTACTATAAGACGAAGTTGTACTTATAAGCCCTTTGGCATGAACTACATGTATGGATTGCCAAGGCTGCTGCTCAACGCTGTGAGTCGAAACGACGTAATCGCCCACCTCGATTTAATTTATCCTAAGCCAGATACAGAGCCGTTCATGTCGTCAGCCAGCCTTGTGGGTATTCGGGCGCGGTGAAATGGATGGAATGGTACCTGACCTGACCTGACCATGTGTCTTGTAAATGAAATGCGCGCGTTCGACTTACATCGATTGGCTGGTGCTGGCTGGTGCCCAAACGGGCTGTGAGTGAGTGTGACTGTGACTATGTATGACTGGGAGCCCTCTTTCTGTCACCTTCTTTTCTTTTCTGGCTGCAATGATACACTCCATACTGTGATTTAATTTGACTTCCATTGGTTTTCTGCTAAGCCCAGGACATCATGGTGTCAATCACAGATTTCAATGTGGCGCCTCACTGTTTGTCCACATCATCGAGTGACGTTAGCCCCTGCTAGGCTGCTAACTTTTTCCCTTCTCTTCGCTGTGCCCGTGCCAGTCAAGTGCAGTGCAGTGGACATTCATGTGCTACCGCTCCCAACACACCAGCCTCACGCTACTGCAAGTATCAGTGCCAGTACGGAGTACAGCACAGCAACTCCGTATCTCTCACCCGCTATCAGCTGCATCGCCACATGTGGCTGGACTCCCCTGCCAGGGCACCGCACCCGAACCCGCCTAGCCTTCCCTTGTCGGGCTCTGCATCTTGCGAGTCCCTCCTAATCCATCCAAACCCATAAACTCGCATCTTGTCCAACCCTCTGCCTGGTAGCGGCTCTCCACCATTTTCTGCGATTTCAGGATAGCTGCAAGCGCCTTTTGGGAGAGCCAAGTTCTGTGCAAGTCGAGACCTGCGCTAGAATCTCCTTTTCTTCTCTCTTCACCGTCTCGTCTCCCCGGCTTATCCAACAAAGTCACCCCGCCACTTCGTTCGCGATAGCCTCCCCCCTTACAACCAGGGCTTCTACTCCGCCTCTACTCCCGACATCTCGACGATCAACGCATACAAGACACACGCTCGACCATGAGCACACCCAACGCTTCGCTTGCCCAGCCGGGCGGCATCACCGACCCTGCTCTGATCCAGTGAGCCTCTTCTGCTGCCGCTTCTGTTCCTGCGTTGCTGGTGCTCCGGCTTCTGCTGGCCTCGCAACGCCCCTCTCGCCCGTGGTCCACGTTACTGACTCGCTCTTCTTACTTCTAGGCTCGTCAACAAGCTTCAGGATGTTTTCGCAACTGTCGGAGTCAACAACCCCATTGATCTTCCTCAAATCGCCGTCGTCGGCAGTCAGTCTAGCGGCAAGAGTTCGGTGCTGGAGAACATTGTCGGCCGTGATTTGTGAGTCCTGCCATCTGGAAGCCCCCTATCTTGACCCTATCCCAAAAACGGCGCCATGCTAATTGTTTGTCGGTAGCCTTCCCCGAGGTAATGGTATCGTCACGCGTCGTCCTCTCGTCCTCCAGCTCATCAACCGCCCCGCCCAGTCCAACGGCATCAGCCACGAGGACCTCGAATCCGGCGCCGACAAGGCCGCCAACCCGGACGAATGGGGCGAGTTCCTCCACTTGCCCGGCCAAAAGTTCTTTGACTTTGGAAAGATCAGGGATGAAATCTCTAGAGAAACCGAAGCCAAGGTTGGCCGAAATGCCGGAATTTCCCCAGCTCCCATCAACTTGCGCATTTACTCGCCAAATGTCCTCACCCTGACACTGGTTGACTTGCCTGGTCTGACCAAGGTCCCCGTTGGCGATCAGCCCCGCGATATTGAGCGCCAGATTCGAGACATGGTTCTCAAATACATCTCCAAGTCAAACGCCATTGTCCTGGCCGTCACCGCTGCCAACATTGATTTGGCAAACTCGGATGGTCTGAAGCTGGCGCGAGAAGTCGACCCCGAAGGTCAGCGCACCATTGGTGTTCTCACCAAGGTCGACTTGATGGAAGAGGGAACCGACGTCATCGATATTCTTTCCAACCGCATCATTCCGCTGCGCTTGGGCTACGTCCCTGTCGTCAACCGAGGACAGCGAGACATTGACAACAAAAAGGCCATTGGCGCTGCTCTGGAGGCGGAAAAGAACTATTTCGAGAACCACACGGCGTACCGCAACAAGAGCTCCTACTGCGGTACCCCTTACCTTGCCCGCAAACTGAATCTCATCCTGATGATGCACATCAAGCAGACGCTACCCGACATCAAGGCCCGCATCTCGAGCTCTCTGCAAAAGTACAGCTCCGAGCTGGAGAGCCTTGGCCCGTCTATGCTCGGCAACAGCTCCAACATTGTCCTCAACGTCATCACCGAGTTCACCAACGAATGGCGTACCGTTCTGGACGGTAACAACACTGAGCTCTCTAGCACCGAACTGTCTGGCGGTGCCCGTATCAGCTTTGTTTTCCACGAGCTGTACTCCAACGGAGTCAAGTCGCTCGATCCCTTTGACGTCGTCAAGGACCTTGACATCCGAACCTACCTGTACAACTCGTCGGGTCCCTCTCCCGCGTTGTTTGTCGGCACCACCGCTTTCGAGCTGATCGTCAAGCAGCAGATCAAGCGAATGGAGGACCCAAGTCTGAAGTGTGTGTCTTTGGTGTATGATGAGCTTGTGCGGATCCTCTCACAGTTGCTCTCCAAGCAGTTGTACCGCCGATATCCCGCCCTCAAGGAGAAGATGCACAGCACCGTTGTTACCTTCTTCAAGAAGGCCATGGAGCCAACCAACAAGCTCGTCCGAGACCTCGTTAACATGGAGGCGTGCTACATCAACACCGCTCACCCTGACTTCCTCAACGGCCACCGCGTATGTACACCAGCATTTTCCATGTTCCCCCTTTTTTCTGCCATTTTCCATCCATATGCTAACATGATGTGCGCGCATCTAGGCCATGGCTATTGTCAACGAGCGTCATAACCCCTCAAAGCCTGTGCAGGTCGACCCGAAGACAGGCAAGGCACTGCCAGCTTCCACACCCGCCCGAGCTGGCAGCCCGACTGTCCCAGAGGCCGATGGCAGCTCAAACGGTGGATTCTTTGGAAGCTTCTTCGCGGCGAAGAACAAGAAGAAGGCCGCCGCCATGGAGCCTCCGCCACCCAGCCTCAAGGCTTCTGGCACGCTGTCAGAACGCGAAGTCATCGAGGTTGAAGTCATTAGTAAGCTGTGCCCATACAAATTCAGGGAATTACCAACGCTAACTTGTGCATAGAATTGCTCATCTCGTCTTACTACAACATCGTGAAGCGAACCATGACCGATATGGTCCCCAAGGCCATCATGTTCAACCTTGTTCAGTATGTGACCCCTACTATGGGAATATGAAACCATGAAGAGATTTTAACCAGTTATTTATAGGCTCACAAAGGATGGCATGCAGCGTGAACTGCTGGAGAACATGTACAAGACCGATAGCATTGACGACTTGCTGAGAGAAAGCGACTTCACCATCCGCAGGCGGAAGGAGTGTCAGCAGATGGTCGAGTCTCTCGGCAAGGCCAGCGAGATTGTCAGCCAAGTGCAGTAGACGAAGAAGGCCAGACACGCATTTCTAGATTGACATGTTAGAATGATTGGGCGACTTATGGCTTTATGAGATGCATGACGCACGATGAACTCGCTCCCCCTTTTCCCAAAATCCCCTTTATTTTCTTCTTTTTCGATACCATCGGCTGTTTTCCGGAGGCTAGAGTAAATGAGTAATGAGTTCGCCCAGAAGAGAACGAGAGCTGGGGTGTCGGCAACGTGGGGGGAAATATCAGGGTTTTACACTCGTCGGATAGCGGAGTATTTTATTGGAAGAGGCAGGGCTGCTCTTTTTGAGGGGGTCCGGGTTTTGGACTCTTGGGAGAGAGAGAGGCCTGCTTCTGCTAGGTATGTTGGGGGAAGGATTCTCTTTTTTTAGGCTTATAGCATGACAAATTAGAATAACTATTTTCTTTTTCTTTTTATGTGAAAGATCATGAAATCCATTTATATATATTCACTTGTTTCGTAAACTCCTCCGCTTTGTGTTGCTTTGACGATGACTATAAAGACAGAAAGAAAGAAAAGAGAAAGAAGACATTACTCCTACGAACTTAAATGGTTGATGAAATTTGCCAACACATGTACGTGTACGTGATATCAAAGCCTGTTGTCACAGTTTGGAATCGCCTCCTCTTTCTTTCAAGACCATCGCCCCATTCTCAAGCTCGTACTGGCCTCCATTCTCCCATCCAACCCACTCCTTCAAGATATTCTCTCCTCCACGGCCGGCTGCCAAAGGCTCTCCCTCATAGCCTCCTCCTTCTCTATCAGCGGCTGAATAGCATGGCGTGTCCCGCAGTGTCACCGCCGGCCGCTGATCGCCTTCCCTGCCAGGCTGCGACTCCAGCTCCTTGTAATGCAGCACGGGGACACAGCACGCGTCCGTTCCATCGAAAACGGCTTCCCACTCGGTGCGAGTCTTGCTCTTGAACGTCTCGGCGAAGAGCGTACGTAGACGAGGCCAGGAAGAAGAGTCATGGCGCTTAGACTCCCAGCCCTGACCCTGCAAGCCGAGACCCTTAATAAGGGCTTGAAAGAATTGGGGCTCGAGAGCGCCGACGGACATGTATTCGCCGTCGGAAGTCTCGTATGTGTCGTACCAAGGACAGCCTCCGTCGAGAATGTTGTTGCCTCGCGGGTTGTTGCCCAAAGGCGTTTTGAGGGACATGCGAGGGAATGACGCGAGATAGGAGCTGCCATCTACCATGTTTGCTTCGACGACCTGGCCCTTTCCTGATGAGTGCCGTGATATGATGGCAAGCAGTACGCCCTGAGCAAGCGTGGCGCCTCCGCCTGCAAAGTCGGCCAGGATATTCCATGGGGGGAACGGCTTCTCGCCCTGCCTCCCGAGAAGGGCGAGGACCCCGGATGCGGCTAGATAGTTGATGTCGTGGCCGGCCATGTCGGCGTACCTGCCGTCGCGACGGAACCCCGTCATGCGGCCATATATGAGACGCGGGTTGATGGCGAGCAGCTCATCTGGACCAAGGCCAAGCTTCTCCAGCACGCCGGGCCTGAATGGGTCAATGAGAACGTCAACGTGCTTTGCGAGGCGCTTGATGAGTGCCACACCAAGAGGTTTCTTTAGGTCGACGATGATGGATGATTTATGGCGGGCAAGCATATCGGGAGTTGGCACTGCGCCTTCGGAATTGGACGGCGGCCTGTCGACGCGGAGAACTGAAGCTCCGGCATCGGCGAGTATGAGGCCTGCAAAGGGACCTGATGAAGGTTATTAAGGTGATTATAAACTTTAAGATAGTAGGTGGAAAATAGGTAATTATTAAGACGAGAGCGCGATGAGCGAGGTCCGTGTAACGGGTGAATTGTCTGATGAAGCGAAATGGTGGTGAGAAGATGAAAAGATGTGCTTACCAGGAGCAAGACCGGCAAACTCCAAGACTTTGATTCCTTTCAAAGGAGGGGCTGAAGCTGCTGCCGCCATGATTGCAGAATTGATGGCAGCGCCTCTGCGAATCTTAGAGATTGATGCCAGGTCTGATATACTTCTGGATCTTGTCAGAAATTAATTGGGCGGGTGAGATGAGCTGAAACCGATGCGGCGGGCGGGCCGAGGTTTAGTGTGTGGGGTAATAGCCGATTGGCCGTGGGAATCATGTTCCGTATAAAGCAGGGGACAGTGTAGTTATATAATTGTATTAGAAAGGTTCGTGGCATTATTAATAATTGTTTCAAAGAAAGGGGTGAGAAAGAGGGGGATTGGATCGTAGCAGAGTTTCCGTAAATTTGTCGAACAGAGAAGATTAGAGTAGCGACTGTGTAATTGAGTCGACGCAAGCCGACGGGTGTTATATACTGTCAACCAGAGAGTTGATAGCCTCTCGCTTGAGAACTGTTCCATCTCGCTCTCAGGGCTTGGATTTCTTCATCCAGTTTGATCCCCGTGGTGGATGATATCTGGCGGAAGCATGATATGAGCGACTCTTGCTGCGACGGATGCGTCATGTCTCTAGCAATCCACAGCAGCCCCGCGATGAGAATAGGATCCCACTGCTCCGCGAAATCATTGCGCGTTGCAGTTCCAGCGATTTGTTGAGCATGCCAGCTCAGCGAAGACAGATGACGCTGGCGGCTGGATAGTCGCAGAAGCCGGGGTTTGCGTAGGAGAAGAAGGCGGGATGATATGTGATAGACAATATTACACTGCAGCGCAATTGAGCTAGTGTAGACGGGTATCGGAAACGAGGAATCGTTGTCAGCGTCGATTTGGCCAGCTTCAACGCTGCGTATTTCCAGAATGGGCTGCATTTCGACTGGGCGGCTGTGGTACCACTGCTGGCAATTTGACCATAGAGAGGACCATTTAGATGAGAAGTATGAGCCTGCAGTTGGGGACATGGGTTCTTGAGTCGCCGACATGTAGAAAGGCGGTGAGGCAGAAGCAATATTGGTACTATTATTACCATTGAGTAGTTGGAGACAGCTGGCGAGTTGAATAAGACAGGCATTGTAGATGGACTTTGTCGATAATGGAAGAGTACGATCCGCTGGGTCGTGATTCATGGCGAATCCCAAAGATGTCAGAGGTGGTTGATCTGTCAACAATGACGCTGCGAGGTCTTTTGAGCAAGAGTATATTAGTCAAATATCCAATCTAGAAGATTTCATATGCTTTCAAATCATGAGAGGTGAAAACTAACCAATCCTAGAGTGAAATCGCAACAAGGTTTCGAGCGGCTCTCCAAACCCTGAAAAGCTGTTGGTATTCCTCGTGGACTCATCCGATTGGAAAAAGGAGAGCCTTCTCCATTGAGAAGGATTCAGAGTGAAAACTTCTCCCAGGGCCAGTAGCGCCAATCCAATCCGCCTTACCCTTGGCTCTTCAAGGGCAAGAGACGGGTCGGTATCCCGCTGAAGCACTGCAGGTCCTCCATACGCCGAGTTGGACCTAGCTAGCTGGATAGAAGCAGCCGACGAAATCGCAGACAAGATTGACCGTCCTTTCTGTGCAAGTAGCATGATATCAGTCCCAAAGGAAGATCCTACGTCGCCTGCTTCTATCCACGGCGCGAGGTTATACTGAAAGTGAAGCAGGGTGGCAGTTTCATTTTTAACAGAAGCTGCATGAGTAGTCGTAAAATAGTCTTTCCATTCGGACTGCGGTAGATGAATGGCCGCGAATGGAGAGGCCGTTTTTGACTGAGAGCTCGAGCTGCCGATGAAGCTGTCCAAGATATTCTCGTCTCCTGGTCCGAGGAGAGGCCGCGATTCTCCAACATGCAATGACAGCCCCTCATCTTGGGCAGACACCTGGACCTCAGTCGACTGTATCGGAGCCTTTGATGAAGAATTGTTGTTCACAAACTTGCATCATCTCTTGTAAGTAGCCGTTTAACATGCTTGGTGATATGTCAAGTCAAGCCGATTAACTCACCCTCACATTGGAGTAAGATGACGCAGGTTGCTCCGATGAGGAACCTCCTTTTTCCTGGGCACCAAGCTTGGGGCCTATGACAAAGGTAAGATCCGGGTATTTACACACGACATTTCTCTCCTGGCAGCTCCCACATTGGGGCTTGCCTTCATCACCTGAAACCAATCAGCAACTGCTTAGAGTTCAGATTCACCATATGTTGGAAAGTAATGGGATAAGGATCTAATGAGACACGTAACAAAAGATTTAAAAAGAGAGGAAACATACATTTTCGTCTTCGCTTCCGGCATGAGAGGCAGCCTGTGCGGACTCTCCTTTTGGCGTCTGGGATATTCCGAATGACAGGCATTGCATCGTTTCCGAATCCCCTGCAGCGCTATGTCACGATGCACGGCATTGTAGCCCCGCTCACTTCTGAAGCAGCAGCCAATAGCGAATTGGATTCGGCAAGACTGACGCCTACGAGATGTACAGCAGCTGATGGGAGTTGGAATTAGAATAACGTCGAGTTTGGCTCGCTGACTGTTCTTTCCTACTTGGCATACAGAAATCGTTAAAAGCCGATGTTCTAGCGCCCCGCTACTGGGGTGCATGTCGTGTGGGGCAGCCCCGTTAATTGTGCATGGCATTATTGCCAATTGGGGTTAGATGGATGGGTAGGCGGCAGACACTGGGGCGAAAAAAGCGACGGGCTGTATCAAGTATTTGAATTTATTGTCTTACTTGCCAAGCGGAGGTCAGCATCCGATTTTGATATATATTATAGTAGCAATTAGTAGAGAAATGTAATTCTAGTAGCAATTACTAGAGAAATGTAATTCTAGTAGCAATTACTAGAGAAATGTAATTCTAGTAGCAATTACTAGAGAAATATAATTCTAGTAGCAATTACTAGAGAAATATAAATATAATAGCAGTCATTAGAAAAATATAGATATAGGTATAAATATTAGCAAAAATATAGCTGTAGTAGCAGTAGCGTGGGCGCTCGAAATCTTCTCGGTCTTGGCTTTTTTGTCCTCCGCTTGGCAGTGGCTATTGTTATTTATTTCATTACACCAAGGCATATAGAAGCCAGCGGAATCTGAGGAACAGAGCCATCTTGGCTCTTGTTGACATCGGCTGGCTTATCATAGCTGTAGAAAGATTGTGCGAGCTTGCGAGCTTCCTTGGCATGGTAGTTGGTTGCGGACTCTTTCTTGGCTTGGACTCGTTGATGCTTGACCTTTTTGACTGTCTGTCGCTTCTTTACTTTGCCGCTCGAGAAGATAGGTCAAAAAATGTCATCAGCTTCGGGTACATTGGCAAAGGTAGCTTGGTTGAATGACTGTGCTTCCTTGCAGTGACGTCCTGCATGGTCTCCCTGGCAGAGACTGCAGACGACTTTGTTTTGGCAAGTAGTTTGATCATGTCCAGGTATCAAACAGTGGCTGCAAACAACCTTCCATCCGGAGACCTTGACGATACTGTCTCGAGATTTGAGGTAATTATATAACTCCGAGATGGTCGAATTTTTCACCGCGAACATGGCTTCCTGTCCAACAAGGATTGTCATTCCTTGTGCTCGTGCCGCCATTACTGCCAATCTCTTGAGATCACTCAGAAAGCCAGGTCCATTCGATCGTGCAAGATGGCAGATGACGACCTCCGCTTGGTGACTTGGCGAATCATCGATGGTACGAACAGACACAATACCTCTTGGAATCTCTGCGGACGACAGCTTCGAAAGCTTTTCCTCGAGCAAAATTTTCTTCTGCTTGTATCCAGTGATGACAAGGATTTTCCCCCTTGCGTAGGTAGAGGGGTCTGCTTCTGGATGCTCCATAAACGACTGCACTGAGTACAAGGGGGCGGAGGCTGCGAGGCGCGAGATCAAGGCAAGGATGAAATTCGCGTTACCCGGATTAGTGTATGAATATCCTACCTTCTGCTCTGCGCCTTCCTGCACATCGACCAAAACCATGTTCGATCCTGGGGTTGCTTTCTGGCCATAGCTTCTGCCGCATTCATCTGTGATCCACTGATGCATTTGCTCTGAGTACGCATCGCGACGGTAAACAGTCTTTATCTCGGACATGTACAAATATCCACGCGTCCATTCATAAACATCGCCATGTGCGCGATGATTTGCGGCCAAGACGAAGTCAATCAGCCCGGCCCCCTCAATCCTTTGCATAAGGCTGTGCTTGCGTTGTTGGGTGAAGAGCGCCTTGTAATTCTTATCCTGATCTGCAACAGCCATCGATCCAAACTGCTTCGTGTCTCCAATGCGAATTGTGGGTGTATTAGCATGCTGAGCAGATGCCACAAACGTCATGGCTTCCGTCAATCGACCAACCTCGTCGACGATGAAAAGTGACTGACTAACTGGCTCGATGTGGTTGAACATGGTCATCAGCGCAACCGGAGCACCTGCAACGGCATCAGCATCGGCAATGAAGTCGTTCATTAGTGTCCGGGCCTCGGCCAAGTAGTCTCTTCTGTTGGTGCGGAATGTTACTGGATCTTCATCTTGCATTCTCCAGTTCGTAATCATAATGTGATATTGCTTGGGAGATAGATGCCTTGACTTTTGCACGAAGTTGTGAAGACCATGAGTGAGGATCGGCTGCCGGGCTACCCTCTTCAAACTGATTCAGCCGGAATTTATTGACCAACTTGATGAACCGCCTATGCGAGCCAGGTGTGTCCTTTGTGATGGGAGTAGACTCAGGTGCCTCGGGCTTGGCATTCATGAACGATCGAAGCTCGAGTGCATACGAGTGAACTCGGACAATTTTCTTGTTCGGCATTGCAGACTTCAAACGCTCCAAAGCATCGGCGACCTGCGTACTTTGCGGCGCTGTCCAGACGATCATTGACACGGTCTTTGGCGCTGGGGCTGGGGCTGGGGCTGGCTCAAGCTGCTTTGCTGGCTTTTAAAGTCGGTGCCGACAACAGGTTCATCGTCTGTAGCCGAATCTGACTCATCCTCTTCGGTCGCAACGGCTTTGCCTTTGCCCTTGTCAATCTTGATGCTTGCATCTTCATCGGCGACTGATTTTTCTCCTTCCTTCTTGGTTTCTGACAAGCTGACAAGCTGAAAAGGTGCAAAACTCTCTGTGTTCTGCTATGCTGCTGATCTATGAAAGAGGGAAAAGCTAGCAGCAAACAGCAGCCAACAGAAAGTGGGCTTGACCTAGGAGAGTGGTCACACAGATCCACGTGACAACTCAACAGTTTCAACTGTCTCATATAATAGCAGTTATTAGAAAAATATAGATATAGTAGCAGTTACTATGGAAATATAAATATAGTAGGGAAATATAGATATAGTAGGGAAATATAGATATAGTAGGGAAATATAGATATAGTAGGAAAATATAGATATAGTAGGGAAATATAGGTATAGTAGGGAAATATAGCTATAGTAGGGAAATNTATAGTAGGGAAATATAGATATAGTAGGAAAATATAGATATAGTAGGGAAATATAGGTATAGTAGGGAAATATAGCTATAGTAGGGAAATGTAGTAGGGATATAAGGGATTATAAATAAATAAATAAATAAGGAGAGAAAATATACAAAGGGACTAAAGGCACTAAGCTTAATTATAAAAAGTAATATAGAATTATGTAATATCCCCCCGACGAAAACAAGCATAATATCCTCATCATAAACCATAATAACCTTCCGATCCGTAGAACCGTTCCGTAAAAACCGTAAACAAACAAACAAACACATATCAAAAGGAAAAAAATTCTAACATGCCAACAAATAAATCCTCAATCCCTGTGTAATGCACTCGCGATAGTCCACAGCCCTAGTTCCATCCATCCTGCTTCCTTCCTCATGTCCCCTTCTCTCAGTCAGTCTCAGGTTTATCAGCCTCGGGAGGGACCTCCATGGCCCAACCCTTGGCGACGGTCAGCCTCGCACGAGCTTCGGTGGTCAGGGTCGCCTGATCGACGGGGAAGCTCGTCGTCGGCTGAGGTCTCTTCACGGCTTGACCTTTGCCTTTTGCCTGAGATTGCTTGGCGGTAGGTTCCTTGGCGACTGGTGCTCTCTGCTGCGATCCTCTGCGCTTCTGGTTGTGCTGCTTTGATGGACCGACGGTCGATGACGAAGGTGCCTTTGCTCGAGATTGCTTGACAGCAGGTCCCTTCGCGACGGGTGCTTTTTGCTGAGGTCCTCCGTTCTTCTCGACGCGCTGTGTAGATGGCCCGGCGGCAGGAGTAGGTCCCTTGACGATGGGTGCCTCCTGCTGAGGTCCTTTGCCCTTCTCAACGCGTTGTGCAGATGGTCCTGCGATAGACTCATCCTTGACCTCTGGTTTCTTCTTCTCATCGATGAAGTCGTGGTACGCCGTGGTGATCGCCTTCATATACGTTTTGTGAGCGTCTTGCGTAGCTGTCTCCTGTTGGTCCTTCCGATCGGCCTTTATCTTTTTGACTCCTTCCGGGAGTTTTCCATGTTTAATAGAGCTAAAAGCGGCTCGATGGACGTCATCCAACGGGGCAACATTCTTAAACAGGCAAAGGTCGGCAACAGTTCTATCTCCAATCTTGGGGCATCGACGGCCGGCATCGACGGCCGGCATGCTTTCCATTGCAGATGGCGCAATTCACGACTGTTTTGCAGGCAGTCTGCCGGTGACCCGGGAGCAGACAAACGCCGCAGACCTCGTTCCAGCCGAAGACCTTAACAATCGCATCTCGGTCTTTGAGGTAGTCGTACATAGTGCGCAAAGTCTGAGCGTCCTTTCCCTTGATCACGTCCGTTCGGCCGACGATGATTGTGAGTGCCTGTGCCCTCGTTGTCATTACGGCCAAGCGTTAGTCTTCCATCATAAAACCGGGCTTATCGGTCCTGACCATATCGCAAATCACCACCTCAGCCTGATAGCTGGGTGAGTCGTCGATGGTTCGGACAGATACTAATCCACGGGGCACCTCAGCCTCTGGCAGCTCGGCCAGAGTTTCCAGCAGCAAGCGTTTCTGCTCACGGTACCCAGTGATGATGAGGATCCGGCCCCATTCGTAGGATCTCAGGAACTACTAAATGCGCTCCTCACGGTCTTCACGGTCTTGGGCTTTGTCCTTGCCCTTTTTGCTCTTGTATCGTTCAACGTCGAACCGGTCATCCATGTAGGATTCGGCGGAGAACATGGGTGCTGATGCCACCAGGCGGGACACCAGTTCGGTAACGAAGCGAGCGTTGGTCGGATTCACGTAGGATGCGTTCTGCTTCCTCTCCTGTCCATCGACAACGTCGACGAAGATCATATTTGTCGCAGGTTCAGCGGTTTGTCGATGGCTTCTCTGATATTTATCGATAACCCATCGATAGATCATGGACGAGTAGCCGTTCTTCTTATTCACCGTCTTTATATCGGATACGTATAAAGCTCCTCGTGCCTAATTATGTATATCACCGTGTGCACGGTGATTGGCAGACAGGGTGAAGTCGATGTGTCCCGTTACTTGAACTCTTTTCAGCAAGCTGCAGCCGCGCTGTACTTCGAATAGAGCCTTATACGTCCTGTCTGTGGAAGTGACGGATACGGGACCGAATTGCTTAGTGTCGCCTATGAAAATAACTGGCGCATCGGGGTGTTGTGCAAACGGCACCAGCGACATAGCCTTAGTCAGTCAACCGTATAAGAGATCATAAACAAACGAACAAGCAAGGGGAGAAAACACAAAAAGGGACCAAAGGCACTAAGCTCAACTGCAAAAAGCAAGCTTAATAACTAAAATCCAAATTATAGTAAGGATAAGGGAAGAAAAGACTAGGCAAGGAGAGCGTAAAGAACTAGCTAGCTTAATGTAAAGTTACGTAACAGATAGAGTAGGGAAATATAGATAGAGTAGGGAAATATAGATATAGCAGCTACTCCTGTTGTAGGCGTATATAGGTAGGTAGTTTAACTCGTGGGCGTTTGAAATGTTCCCGGTCTCGGTGTTTCCGTCCTCCGCTTGCTAGCAAAGAAATAAGATGGTAAGCTGTGGCCGATATTACTTACTTTTTTACACCAAGGCACAGGTCATAAAGTTCTCAAAGGAAAAAAAAAAGTAGGCATTAATTAAGATGGGTGTTTGTCAAAGGATATCGTGACTAATAGTACTCCGTTTCATTCATTACAAGTTGTGGCACATCTCTCATGCCCAGCAGCCCATTCCCCTTTTACAGCTTCTCAATCTGCGACTCGTGGATATCTCTCTTCTCGTACTGCGCCGCTGAGCGAGCCTCAACGAGAGCAACAAGGCCAACCTCCTCCTGCACCTCTCTCATCAGCCGGGCGTCAATCTCGCCAGTGCGGCTCTTGAACACTCGGTCCATGTCCTCCAGCGTGGCGTTCTTGGTCTCGGGGAGGAAGAACCAGACGGCAAAGATGCCCACGACGAGGAAGCCGGCGAAGAAGATGTAGGTTCCCCAGGCCCAAGCCTGAAGCATGGGAGGGACGAAGAAGGCAATGGCGAAGTTGTTGAGCCAGTTGCTCATGGCACCAATGGAGGCACCCTTGGCTCGGATGGAGAGGGGGAAGATCTCGGAGACGAGAGTCCAGGAGACGGGGCCCCAGGTAGCTCCGAAACCAGCAATGTAGACCCAGATAAGAGCTAGAAAGAGTGTTAGTTAGCTGCATGTCTTTTTTGCATCTTAGGTGCTTGAAAAGATTGTCAACTTACCAACTGCCACCCAACCAGCAGCGACGTGGTGAGGCCAGTCGTGGCCGAACTTGGCAACAATGATACCAACAATAACCATGCTGACGGCCATGACAATGGAGCCAACGAGCAACATGGGCTTTCGTCCGACCTTGTCAATGATCAACTACACATATCGAGTCAGTTGGCTGTTCATACAATGCAGGTGGGCTATGAAGACTTACCATGGCGGGCACAGTGCTGACGATGAAGACAACTCCGGTCACACCAGTTGCCAATAGAGCAGTAGTGCCTCCAGTCAAACCCAGAGTGATGAAGATGTTGGTTGCATAGTAAATGATTGCGTCAATTCCACTCCATTGTTGGAAGAACATGATGAAGAAACCAGTCAAAACTCGCTTGATGTTGTCCTTGGAGTTGAGGCACATGGCGTATTGCGCAAACTGTTCGACAAAAGCATTGCTCTTCTTGCTCGCCAGCTTAGGCAAGTCGCGCTCAAAGACTCGCTTTTCGAAGACGCTCTCGGCCTTGATCTCAAGGTACTCGATCTGGACAAGCTCATCGTCGACGGGCAGCTTTCGCATCCAGGCCATGGTCTTCTTGGCCTCCTCGTCGCGGCCAACCTTGACAAGCCATCTGGGCGAGAAGGGCATGAACCAGATACCAATAGCGAGGGCAACCGCAGGAATTCCTTGGATGATGGAAGGCAGTCTCCAAGCGAGGTTTGTCTGACCCTCGCCGGTTCCACCAATAAAGTTGCTGCAGTATCCGACCCAGAAAGAAAGCATGATGCCGAGAATAGTGGCGAACTGATAGAAGGACACCAACAGGCCTCGCATCTCGGGTGCAGAAAGCTCAGCGTTGTAAAGAGGACCGACACCACTGAAGAGACCGACACCGAGACCAGTGAAGAATCGGCCGGCATACAGGAGTGAAGAGACACCCTCGTGGGCACCGACGTAGAGGTAGCTACCCAGGATGACCCAGAGACAGGCGATGAACATGGTGTACTTTCGGGAGATGATCTCGCCCAGGACACCGGCTGACAGAGAACCAACGATACCTCCCAGCTGGAGGACCGATGTCAGCCAGCCGGTAGCTGAAGACGAGCCGACGACCGCAGGGAAGTTTTCCTTGAAACGGGTCATGACCAGTGACTGGCCCAGGACACCCTGCTGGTAACCATACTCGAAACCACCCAATCTGTAAACAAAATCACAGCCAGTCAGTACATATTTATATATATAGCAACAGTCAAAGTCAGCCAGAAAGATGATTGATCAAAACTCACGATGCAAAAAAGGCAATGAAGAGGACCTTGGGGTTGTTCCGCAGAGACTGCCACATCGTCTTCTGGGCCTCATGGACACGTCGAGCCGGCTCCACGGCAGCAACGCCGTTGGGAGCAATCTCAATATCCGTGGAATCGGTGGACATTGTGAAAGTCTTGGTCTGCTGGGTATATAGCTTGAAGAAGCTGGTTGAGGGGAGGTTCGAGTCAAGTCAAACAAACAGGTGGGAGAAGCCCCGGATTTAAATGCAGCCCTCCATACTCCGGATTTTCACCCTGTTTACCCCATGTTTCCCATATTTTAAACTGCCACCTCGTGGTTGCGAAAATCTGGAGCCCCCCATACGAATCATGTCCCGGCCATCGGTGGGGAAAGGCGAGCAAACCCGCGTGTTTTCGAGGAGAATCTGGGAGACTCGCGGGGGGTCGTAGCCTCTGGCCCCTGAGTTGGGAATAGCTTCGCCCGCGCTGCGAGTGCCGAGCGGCATCCCGATTGGCTGCGCTGCACTTCGGCTGTTGCCCGTGGCCTTGCATGTGGCGATGGCTTCACTAGGGCGGCTAAAGAGAGCCATGTCGGCCACCAGTCCCGTTGCGGCAGTGTAGCCTACGAGAATACGCGCTTTTCGATGCTTGTCGCCATCCTCATGCTGACATGGGGGGATTGGGGGGGCACCTTGACTGACTCGATGCGACGCTCATGTCATGTGCCCGGCGCAGAGAAACTAGAAACTGGAAACTCGAACCTCAAACCACCGCCATTGAAGAAAAACGGGTGCTTTGTTCCGCAAAAACGGGCAATTCGTGCCGTTAGTTTTGCTGCTAGCCCCGCGCCTCTGGAGGTTGGCCGGGTTTATTATTTTGAATTGCGGAGAGAAGCGAAAGCTCTGGCTCTCCAAGCATCTGGATTTGATCGATCCCCCTGCCAAAGGTTCCACTCGAGCTGCTCACCCGAATGTTCTCCAAAATTTCCACGTGGAGAGCCGAAATTTTTATTCTTTCCTTGTTTTTACCAAATTAAAGTGAATACGAATCGTTAGTGGTTCGATTCTATTACTTCATCCATTTGTCTAGCCGGTGGATCTTCTTCTCTTCTCGGCCCCCAAAACCGCAGCTGACCGTCAAAGAGCCCGAATTTACTTACTCTAGCACAATCCAAAAGTCACGCCAGGAATCCTTGATATCAGACCAGGCGGCAGGGAGGTGGACTCCAGGCAAGCAGACAAAGCAGGGAAGAAGAAAGAAAGAAGAAAAAAGAAAATTCAAAGCCAATAATCACGCCCACACCCAATGGCCGCTGGCAATGGAAGATCCAACGACTAACCATATTGACGGGGACGCCTTCATGTCCCCGACCTCGCTCTCTCCCTTTGATGATTACGCTGCCAACCCCAGATATATCGAGCTTCAGGAAGAGCTGCGAGGACTGCTCTTTGCTGGAGTGAGTCTTGACCCGAGCAAGAGCGCAACTCCCGAGCCGGCCTCCGATGAGGCGGACCATGACCGGGCGTCGGTGCCGTCCTCAAAGAGCCTCGACTTCTCGCGGGTCTCGATCCCCAAGATGAGGCTCGTCAAGTATCTCAAGAACTGGGTGATCGAGTGCTCCCCGTACCTCGACAAGTTCGACGAGGCCCGCCACTTTGGCATCCAGGTGCCCCTGCTGGCACAGAGCTCGCCCGGCCTGTTCTACGCCGTGCTCGCCTTCTCGGCGCGGCAGATGGAGAGAAAGGCCTGTCTGGAGAAGAGCTACGACAGCCTCGAGCTGTACCAAGAGAGCATCCGGCTGCTGGCACCCGGATTGCAGGCCAAGGACCCCAACATGCTCGTCACGGCGTGCATCCTGGCCGTGCTGGAGCTCATGTCCGGCAGTCCACGCAACTGGAGGCGACACATTGAGGGCTGTGCTTCGCTCTTTGCCTTTTACGAAGTCACTGGCTTCTCGGGTGGTCTCTTGCAGGCCGTCTTCTGGTGCTACGCTCGCATGGAGCTGTGCGGCGCCATCATCTCCGGCGGCGCAGAGAGCACCGTCCTCAGCCTGGACAAATGGGTTCCCCCCGTGCCCGAGGGCCTTGGCACGTCCAAATCGCAGGCCGAGGACTTCGTCAAGAGCATCTTCTACCAAAAGGGCCGCGAGACCCCCGACATGCACGCCAACTGGGCCGTCTACCTCTGCGCAAAGGCCTGCGACCTCATGTATCGTCAAGTCAGGCTCGTCGAGCTGGGCGAGCCCGACGAGACCGACGACCGGCCGTTTGTCGACCGGTGGCGCCGCCTCTGGTCCGAGCTGCAGTTCTGGCGCGACACCCGGCCAAAGTGCCTCCTGCCCATCATGACGACCGAGGCCAGCGAGAGCCAAATCTTCCCCATCATACTCTTTGCCCACTGGGCGGCCATTTCTAGCAACCAGCTCTACCACGCGGCGTGCATAGTCATGCTGGAGATGAGGCCGCCTGGTGAGACGTTGCCCAACACGCTCGAGTACTCGGCCGTCTGGCATGCCCAGCGAGTGTGTGGCATATCGTGGACGAACCCCCACCGCGGCAACTTGATCAATGCCATCCAGCCTCTCTACATTGCAGGCAGGCTGTTGACACATCCGAGAGAACATCTCGAAGTTGCTCGGCTGTTCAAGATTATCGACAGAACGACGGGGTGGGGTGCCATATGGCGATTAAAGGACTTGGAAGCGGAATGGGGTTACGAGTCGGGAGAGATTTTAAGCATGATTTGATACCCGGACATTTATCATGCACAGCATGGATTGATGAAGCATACGAAACGGCATGAGACCGTATGAGGCAACCTATGAATGTATATAAAGAAACGCCATGTATGACACTGAACCTCACCCATTTACATAACCTTATCTTACATGTACATAATAATTGATTCCACCATCTCAATCTTAACATCCCTTCTTTTTTATTTAGTCCTCGGGCGCCCTCGCACAGCCGGGAACGAACCAGTAATTCCCACTGTACACTGATGTTGCCAGCAAGAAAGAGAGGAGGCTATAGACACCCGCGTTCTCAAAGCTCTCGAGACCTCCTCTTGCTGATACCATGGTCCTTGCGGCATGGGCATGGGTAAATGAGACGTCGCTGTGTCCCTCAAAGTACTGCGACATGGATTAGCAGTTGCTCCGCAGGTTATGCCAGCTCCGCCGACCGGTGCGATACGAGATGGCGACTTACCGCTTCTGAACACAACTGCATAGCCAGCGTAATAGTCTGATACGTCGGCCGCTCTTCACCCTCGATTGCCCTCTTCATCGATTCGATACAAGCAAGGCGGTATCGCTCTACCATAAAGTAACACTTGGCTGCCTCTTCCGGATCTTTCGTGTTGAGGGCGCGCCTGTGATAGGCTATGTAGAAAATACAGGCGAGGAGGCTAGGGTATTTGATGGCAAAGGGAACATAGGATGATTTCATGCGCTTCATGACGGGAGCGACCTGGTCGCGGGGGAAGCAGATTTCATAGCCATACTTGAGAACCCAATCCAAGTCTTGATAGTTGGAGACAAGGTCAGCGCATGTTTGTGCCCGATTAAGCAGTATATGAAGTAAAAACAGAAGTAGTCCACAATAACGAGACGCCCTGACATGTATGCGCCCATCATGTAGGAGTACATGGTAGTGCAGTATGCAAGGTAACAATAGGAAATACTCCACAGACAGATCGGCGTAGGGAGCGATAGGACACTGTACCTGTACTCGTGCATGAAGAATGGGGATGGAGTGGTGTTGGGTGATTGGTGTTGGTGATTGGCGTTTACACTTACAGAAATTAAACGTTGCGTATTCGTCATCCGTCAAATCCCAGGCAAAGGCCCCGTTCCACACATCCCTCCTCGCATCGCCAATCATCTGCCTCGGGCAAGGCACCTCCGCATTCCGATCCAGGGCTGCTCCCGTCTTTGGTGCAATTCTCCGAAACCCCCGGGAGAGCGCCCCCTCCTTTACATCGAGAAACGAAGACTGCGGGAGCCGTGCTCGAACTGGCAGTGCAACCGCCTTCTTTGTGGAGGTGGAGTCGTCCGGACTCTCGGACCGGGCGGGCGATTCCGCAGCCACGCCTGAAGTTGCAGTTGCAGATGCAGATGCGGATGATGAACAGCAGGCCTTGCCGGTCTTGCACGACGCCTTGCGCTGGCGGCGCCGGGCATGGGAGTCCTTGGCTACGTGAGACCGGATCTGGCTGATGCGTTTGGCGGAGGTAGATTCACTGGGGTGAGCTGTGTTGATGAATTGGAGCTTGATTACGGATGGACTGCGCTTGATGACGGTGGTTGCGGCGGGGGAGGAGTGAATGGTCGAACTGCTGGAAGAGGACCGTGCTGACCGAGGAATAGGCGGCCTAGGAATGGTAAGCGGTTGATGCAGCATGTCGTCGTTGTTGTCGTCCACTCTTTGAAGAGAATTATGTATCATGTCCGGAGTCTTTCGTCACGAAGCTGGCAGAAACACTTGGCTTCTCGAGAAAGACCAAGCGGGAAGGTGTAGACGGTAGATATGTCTGACTGGGCTTGCTAGGGGCTTGCCCGCCACCATTAATTCACTCGTACTGCAAGAGAAGTGTCAGAAGCCACTGGAAATAGCGTATGAATAAGCTTAAAGGAGCGTCACCTGTGATGTTTCGCCAGAGTTGAGGTTGACCGGGATAGCAATGTAGAAATCATAAGTACCGAGTTAACCGGGGCTGCTGTCCGGGGTTTGGCCAATCACGGGAGCTCAACTGAAGAGCTGCAAATTCCTAAACGGGACAGGAGTCTCCACTAATAAGGCCACTAACCCCCGGCTGACAAGAAGCGGTATGGGTTACTTTATGTTGAACAAGAACTCTGGCTGGAGATCGCGGTACCTGTACCTAACTCTTGTGATGCTTGTCAAAGCTCCTAGATTCTGCATCCCCAGCGTATAAGTGCAAGGCAATAACGCCTCCTACACTTGACGGAGTCTCTCACTTTGCCTCCCGCAACCATAATCAAAGCAACACAAGACAAGACCAGGCCGACATCAGCTCGGTTAACTGCTAGAAACAATGATTGAATGACTCGGGACGTCGTCAGCACAGCAAAAACGAAAGCGAAGCCGCAATTTCTCCATCATTCCCACGCCACACATCCAGCCGCTACCCGAAACCAGAATAGCCGCACTGCTGCTCCGTTCTAGAGCTCTCAGGATCCCATTCCTTCGCTCAGGAGTCCCAATGTAAGGGGTCCAAGGGCCAAAGGCGGTCGGCAGAGCCGATGTTTGTCCGCGAGGCATCCGTGGCGCAGCGGCAGAAGCTTCGCAAGGATTGAGGCGGCTTGCAGGAATGCGGTTGGCCAGAGACACCGCCGAAAGGCTGATGTTGTATCGTCAGTGCCTCAAGCAACTAAACTGACTAGGTAGGCTGTGACGTAACCGGCATAGCCACTAAACACACTCACAAAGGCAGTCGTGCAAAACAACAAATAAATCAAGGTTCCGCCTCGCTGATTCCAGTCTAGAAACCACTGACTCGCCATTGCTTCGTAATACCAAGAGGTGCACAATCATTTCATCCTCTAGTCATCCTCTAGTCATGGGAAAAAGAAGCGAAAGTGAAAGCGGCTCAAAGCCGGAGCCGGAAGAATCTCACGGCGCACCGGCTGAGCTTCCGCAAGAGGTGATCCCCTTCGACCCGGTGCCGACATACGAAGAGTCGCGCTCAGGGCCGTCAGATTCGGCTTCACTTTCCGTCTCCCATTCGCTTTCTGCCACAGTCTCGGCATCAACACCGCAGCCGCCGGCCGGAACCTCAGCCCTGGCCCCAACCGTTACTTCACCATTTAACTTCCCTACCGATGGCAAAGGCAAAGACGGCTCCGTGACTGCACCTCCACCCGTTTACAAGGTCGGGTCATCCAGTAGCAGCTCCAGCGCCGCCCGAACCATAGCCTTTCCTCAGATCAAACCGGATCCAGACTCGCCTTTCCTGGTGGCCTATGCCCCTGTTCTTCTCAGCTATGGCATAACCGAGGAGACATGGCGGTCGTTTCTGACCACCATCTCGGCTTTCCTGACGGCCACCATATCAGATCGTGCCCTTTCACATGCCACCGATGTAGCTGCTCACATTGGCCAAAATCCCAAAAACTTGGGTAGAAATGTTGCTGCCCACGCCAAGTCCATCAGCAGGAACGTGTCAGACAATGCCAAACGGGGCAACATCATAGGTGCTGCCATGGGCCTCATCGGCGGCACCATCTCACTGCCAATATCAACGGCCCTAGGCGTCGTGGGTACCACTCTTTCGCTCCCTGGCCAGGCCATTGATGCCGTGACCAAGAGGCCGAGAACTCCCCAAGAGAGAGCCGCGACGTATGCGGCCGTTGCAAACGAAGAGTGGCTGCACATGCGCGGCTTGCATGCACATCTGTTTGATTCCGCTGGGTTGGCTCATCATTTGGGAATGCCGCTGGATACGTTGTTAAGTTTGGCTTGGGAGACTAAGGAGAGCGATGCTGGCAGACAGATGAGGGCACTGGAGCCGCATATTGCTGGGCTCGATGTTGACGAGGGGGCGATGCTGCAACTGAAGACCCAAACGCTGTGGCTGGTGTTGATGCCTGGAAAGCAACCCTCTTCAAGTTGAGTAGGTCTGTGGAGGAACAAGTAATGCCGTGAGGGGACTGTAGAATGATGGCCGAGCCTGGAGTAATTTTTTTTCTTATTAGTAGGGCAAGGAATATGGGTACATGTAGTTGAATCTTCTCAGGACAGGTCGCTGTCGGAAATATTGATTATAGAAGCACAAGCAATGAATAATGGAATTTAGAATGACTTTGAAAACAGAAAACAGCTGTAAATGATATTGCGGCCCTCGTGGTTATGTGATGTAATAGTGTACGCAAGCTTCATATTGTGTGAGCGGTTCGTCTTGTACAGTCTTGGGCTACCCTGAAGCCACTTGAATATATGTACTCGGTAAGCCATCCAGCGTAGGATTATCAATTACTTTCTGCATATATCTGCAAGATTGTCATTTTTCATTTCTCGGCATATTCCAACCAAGTCGACTCGGAGATATAACCACGGCAATTGCGTGATAAAAAATCCATATTAGAGCTGCTGCTCCCGAAGCGCCAACCGCGCTACACAAAGTCAAATCATTTGCTGGGATATAAATCAGGAGAACAAAGAATCTTTCAATCATATAATGAAAAAAGCCGACCAGAAAAGAAAAACGAGATATAAAATCTCCTGATGATTCTACTATTTTACAATGACAAAACTTGCCACTCTGAAGCTGTTGTGGAGTCGGTGATACGACAAAGAACCCGGGCGTTGGAATCGAATCCCCGGCGGCCATCATACGAGCAATATACGGCCGAAGCGCTGTTGGGCCGCTCCACGTGGGACGGGCTCCAGTGAGAACTCTAAGCTTGTGCTCGCTATCTACGGGTATCTATCACATCTCAACTCACTATGGCGAGCTATATTTTTTTTTTTTTTTAATCCTTTCAAGCAAGGCCGGGGGATTTTAGCGGGAAGCAACACTTCCTCACCCGACTCACTCACGACCATTCTCTTTTCCTCTTATTCCCGTCGCTATTTTCAGGAAATTTTGTTTTAAAAAAAATAAATAAAAAGGGAAAAAAAGGGATTATTTTATAAAGAATATGATTGAAGAAGCGCCCCCCGCCGTCAGGGACGATGCGCCAACCGACTCAAAGACCCACGACGTTGAAGGTGTCGTCGAAGAAACCGCGGATACCCGCGTTTTGGTGAGACATTGAGCAGCGTCTTTGCGATGGCGTCAAACTTGTGCTAACAATACAACGACAGACGAAACTCGGATACAAGCCCGTATGTTCAAAGGCCTTTGATTCTTACAATTCTATTCGTTTTGCCTTTCAAGTGTAGCCGGAAAATCTCACACGAGGTCGTTTTTGCAGGTGCTTCATCGAACCTTCAACTTGTTTCACAACTTTTCAACCACCTTTGGTATGCATCTCACCCAACTCCAACAAACCAAACGAGAATCATCAAAAGATCAATAGCTCACACTCATAAACAGCTGCATTGTACTTCATTGGCGGTGTCCGCGTCACCTTTTCAACCGGCATCGCCGCCGGCGGCAATCTCGCCTACTGGTGAGACTCATCCCCCTCCTCCCCATCGCGATGACAGCCTCGTCTTATTTAGCCTGGTCTTGTTTAGCCTGGTCTTGTTACATGTACTCACGGCGATTCTCCCCTCAATAGGACAAGCTTCATCGTGACGTGCGTCTTCAGCTTCATCAGCGCCGCCGTCATTGCCGAGATTTGCTCGTCGCTGCCGCTTGCTGGGTCCATCTACCTCTGGGCGGCTGAGGCTGGCGGGCCTCGATATGGACGCCTGTTGGGCTACATTGTAGCATGGTGGAGTACCACTGCTTGGACGACTTTCTGTGCAAGTATGTTTGTAGATGTCTTGGCTGAGATGAGATGAAGAGTCCAGTAGCTGACAAGAATTACCTCAGGCAACACACAGGGAGCTGTTAATTATATGCTGTCGGTATGTCTTGTCAACATCTATACTGCCCGGTGGCGATATATAGCTAACAACTGTGTGAATAGGAAATTGTTGTCTTTAATCTTGATTTCCCTTCAGATCCCTCAGATGTCAAGTTCCGTGCCGTCCAGTGGATTTGCACCGAAGTCCTCCTCGCTCTCGCAGCGATATGGAATCTTCTTCCCCGTGAGTATATCTCTCTACGCTCCTCTCATCCCCATTTCCTTTAAGCTATAAAGTCCTATAAATCAAGAACTCACACGTCCCAAACAGCTAAATACTTCAAATGGATCTTCTACCTCTCCACTGGCTTCGTCCTCCTCGACTTCGTCCTAAACATGATCTGGCTGCCCATCGGCACCGTCCGCACGATTGGCTTCCGCTCTGCGCATGATGCCTTTATGACGACCTATAATGGCACGGGCGCCTCTCCCGGCTGGAACTGGTGCCTCTCATATCTCGCCACTGCCGGCATCCTCATCGGCTATGATGCTTCCGGCCATGTCGCCGAGGAGACGCGCAATGCCAGCGTGACTGCGGCCAGGGGCATCTTCTGGAGCACCGTCGTCAGCGGGCTTGGCGGCTTCGTCGTTGTGATCCTCTTTCTCTTCTGCACCGTAAGTTCTCTATGATGCCCATTGAATGAATATCGAGCTGTGTTCGCATCTGACATGCAATTTCTTCACAGCCCGACCCTGATACACTTTTCTCCTACGGAAGTGTTCAGCCATTCGTGCCGCTCTACGCCGTGATCCTCGGGCAAGGCGGCCACATCTTCATGAACGTAGTCTGCATTGTCGCCCTGTGGTTTGTATGTTTACTCCCCTTTCAGCATCTGTTCTTCGCTCCATAGCTTATCATGCTGACTCTTTTCGCGATAGAACACCGCCATCGCCGTTCTTGCTGCTTCACGCCTCGTCTTTGCCGTTGCCCGAGACGGTGTCCTGCCCTGGTCATCCTGGGTCTCCAAGGTCGTCGACGGCCAGCCACGCAACGCCGTCATCGTCGTCTGGGTTGTTGCCTCCATCATCACTTGCACTATCTTGCCCTCTTCGGTAGCCTTTACCTCTCTCGTTTCGGCCGCCGGTGTCCCCTCAGCCGCAGCCTACGGGCTCATCTGCCTCGGCCGGCTCTTCCTCACACCAAAGACGTTCCCCAAGCCAGCATGGAGCCTTGGTCGTTGGAGCAAGCCCTTTCAGGCAATTTCCGTTCTGTGGAACGGCTGGGTTGTTGCTGTGCTTTACTCGCCGTATGTGTTCCCTGTCACGGGCGATACCTTTAACTATGCGCCCGTCATCATGGGCGCCGTGACCATCTTTGCCATTGTGTCGTGGTGGATCATTCCGGAAGATAGGTGGCTGCCCAGTCAGCGCATAAAGGAGCAGCTGCTGGCAGGAGAGTCAGCCGATGAAGAATGATTTTGAAACTCTAGAGAGGATGTTGATTGCGATCAAGATGGGTTGGGCGTAGTGAGTGTGCATCTAATATAGATACCCAGTAGATAGATAATGGACTTGTTTGAATTGGCAGACTGTTGACTTACAATTATATAGGCCTAGACGTTGCCCATTGTGAAGAGTGCCTATAGTCGTAAAACAAGGATATGGCCAGCTGGCCATAGTGGCAAGCGAAGGTCAGAAAAAGCAAGACCGTAAAATAAATACGTACATATATTCAGGAATATGATCACCTAATAACCAACTCGTAGGACGCCTATTTAGCCAGCACCCGAACTTTATTATATAAAAATAGTAGCAGTTACTAGGAAAATGTAGATATAGTAGTAGTTATGTGGGGCAGCCTGGGACTCTTGTACGATCTGGGAGTTGCTGTCCCTGACGGCATGAGCCTTACCTTGGACCAGAGGGCAATGCCTATCCTTGTTGGGGGACTGTCAATAACGGAGGAACAATTGAGACAGACCCCTCGCACTATCATCCACGGAAGAGGAGGAGAGGACCAGCTATAGGTTCTCGTTACGAAGGCGGTATTCCCACCGGTGGCAAAGGAGGACAGTGAGGATAATCCTACTCCTTTAGGATGGACGGTGATGGATGTTATTTTAAGTGTACTCCAGGAGCGATATGTGACGTGGAAGGAAGTCTACGACGGCCTGGTGACAGACCTGGGAAACGGTGTGACACTAACCAAAGGGAGCCTTATGGCCAGCCTGGAAACGAGCCTGGATGAGGAGGATGATACCTGGTCAAAGGTCTAATTCCTGGACGAGAAGCACAACGAGACGTTGGCAACCAACCTAGCCACATGCAACATGGATAAGATCATGAACGCCGTGTATAATCTAATTGGGCTAGACTAGAGAAATATAGATATATTAGCAGTTGCTGAAGAAATATAGATATAGTAGGGAAATGTAGATATAGCAGCTACCTACTGCTTTTGTAGGCGTATGGTTTAACTCGTGGGTGTGAGAAATCTCCCTGGTCTTGGTTCTTCTGTCCCCCGCTTGAGTGGTTATACACGAGTTGTCACCATTGCGGATAATTGGTTATAACGGATATCTTTTAAACTATCACTAACATCTTCGCTATGATGGATATCTCAACTACCGCTTGATATCAACAATGCCGTACAGTCCATCCCATACAATAAAAAAAACACCCAATGGTAACCACCAGTCCCAAACGCCAAAACGTCACTTTTTCTAATCCATTACTCGAATCAAAAAAGGAGAAAAATCAAGGAAATAAGAAGAAAAGATCGTGGAGAGCCGCTTAAGCCCACCAGTCACCCTGGTCGTGCATGGCCTCAGCAACCTTGACGAAGCCAGCAATGTTGCTGCCGGCAACCAAGCTGGGCAGCTCGCCCTCCTTAGCAGGGACGTACTTCTGAGCCGTCTCAAGGCCGGCGAGGAAGGCGTTCTTCATGATGTCCTTGAGCTTATCGTCAACCTCCTTCTCGGTCCAGGTGAGACGCTGGCTGTTCTGCGCCATCTCCAGACCAGACACGGCGACACCACCGCAGTTGGCGGCCTTTCCGGGAGCGTACCAAACAGCAGCCTGGCCCTTGTCCTTCCTCTGGGCCTCGAACAAGTCGATGGCCTCCTGGGTGCAACCCATGTTGGATCCCTCAGCGACAACCAAGACGCCGCCAGCAACGAGGGCCTCAGCCTCAGCCTTGTTGATCTCGTTCTGCGTCGCCGAGGGAAGCGCAATGTCCACCTTGCCGACGTGAATCCAGGGCCTGGCGCCGTGGTAGTACTTGAACTTGTCGCCGTACTGGAAGTCCGTCAGGGGCCGTCGCTGGGCCTTGAGCGCGGCGATCTCGTTGATGTGCTCCGGCGTGAAGGATCCGCTGTCGGGGGCGACGAGCGCGCCGTTGGAGTCGGACAGCGAGACGACGGTGGCGCCGAGCTCGATGCACTTGAGGGCGGCGTACTGGGCGACGTTGCCGGAGCCGGAGATGGCGACACGCTTGCCGGCGAGAGAGCCCTTGCCGGCGTGCTGGAGCATGTGCTCAACATAATAGACAAGACCATAACCAGTAGCCTCTGTTTTCAGAATCTCGTCAGCAACACAGATCTTTCTCTCTCTCTTCTCCTGTATTGGAGGTAAGAAGAAGAAACTCACCAGGTCGAATCAAACTGCCAGCCCAGCTCAGTCCCTTTCCGGTCAGGACACCCTCAAACTTGTTCCTCGCCTGGCGGTAGGCTCCAAACATGTATCCAATCTCGCGGCCAGAGACACCAATGTCGCCAGCGGGAACGTCGGTATCGGCGCCAATGTGTCGAGACAGCTCGCGCATAAAGGCCTGGCAGAAACGGCGGATCTCGTTGTCAGACTTGCCCTTGGGGTCGAAATCCGCACCACCTTTGCCACCACCCATGGAGACTGATTCATGATTAGCTTTCTTTTCCCCCTCTGTCTGCTGATTGTTATCAGGGAAAGGCGGTTCTGCTTACGGCCGGTCAGAGCATTCTTGAAGATTTGCTCAAATCCGAGAAACTTGAGACTATAGCCATCTTGTCAGCTCACATGTTCTCGTCTAAAAACAAGACAAGAAGAAAAGCAAAACTTACATGGACAGGTTGACGGTAGGGTGAAATCGAAGACCACCCTTGTAGGGGCCGAGGGCAGAGTTGAACTGCACACGGTATCCCCGGTTGACGCGGAGCTGGCCCTTGTCGTCCTCCCAGGTGACGCGGAACTGAATAACTCGCTCGGGGATGGCGGCGACCTGCAGGGCGGTGCGGTATTCGGGGTGCTCCTTGAAGAGGCTGCTGTCCTCGAGGGTGCTGGCCAGCTCTGTAGTGGGATGTGTTAGTCTCGTATAGAAGACTCGACTTGTTGCTGCATCGAGTTTTGCTATTCATAGAGGGAAACTCACCCTTGTAGGCCTGCTCGAATTCGGGCTCGGAAGGGAGGTTAGACATTTTGATGTGAGTGTGAATGTATCGGCGTCGGTAATCGGTATAGAGTTGATGTGGCGAGTCTATGTATCTTGTGTCGCGTGCTTCAAAGCCTCTCTAAGAACAATATCTATAGCAAGAGCTGCAAGACCCGGTAATCAAGAAATAAAAGAAGAAGAGAGAAAAAAGCCAAACATCTCTACCGCGGGAACCAAGCTGCTCTTATATAGATAGTTATCTTCGCCTCCCTCCCAAAAGCCAAGACCCAAAAGTTTCGCCATCTCGGCCAAACTCAATGGCCAAGAAACCCATCCTCACTTCCCCCCATGGCACCCCCATGGCACGTTACGTCTCGTCCAAACAAAAAAATATTAGAAAGCCACAGGCTGGCGGCTCCGATAGTCGCTCAGATGGGCTTGCTTAGGTAGATGAGATTAGATTGCGAGAGGCGAAGGGGGGGCGTCAGTCTATGACGCTGCTCGACAAACACCATAAAAAGGAAGAAAAAACACCCGAGATCTTTTCTCAACACGGTAAAACATACAGAAAAGGGACATCATCAATAATCACTCACGGGGAAATAAGAAGAATACGCCCCACGCCCCCAAAAAGCGCCATTTAATCCAAAAGGGCTGAATATCCCGTCTCATAATGAGCGACTCGCCCGATATACATACAGTAGTGTCGGCAATATCACTGGAATCGAATCACTAACACGGGTGTGTAAGGAGATTCACGCTCCATCCTATCAAATCAATAAAGTAAAGCATATCGATAATGAAATTGCACCAACCAAGGCAAAGCGTCAAATCGATTATCATCTATCAATCCCTATCCGAGCGACCTCGCCGTTCTTGATTGGCCGCCGCCGCGCTGCCCGTTTGAAGATTCAATTGCGTCGCCGCATCGTCGCGGGCCAATCGTAGACTTTGGCTAAGATCCAAGCCCGCCGTTACCGGCATGCGGGAAGCACGCGAGCTAGTGAAAAAGGCGATGATGCAGCCGAAAAATTAGAGGCTAGTTCGATGCAAGGGTAGCGATTGGCTTAAGAAGTGCGGTTTGACATGTGCTTCAGTTCTTGCAAGACACTTTGATGATACGAATGAGAAGAGCCTACTCATATTTACACGTGTAATATCTTCAACGACTTTCTTATCTCTATATAACACAAAATATACGAGAAGCAAACAAGATTGAGCAACAACGCATGCCACCATGCCACAAGCCCAATAAGCCCAACCAAGACGCCTCTATCTGTCAAGAGAACACAAGATTGAAAAATATTTAGATAGTATTCTAGTCCCCATAATTTAGACATTGCCTGCTTCACACCACCATTCCTACAATACATACAATACCACTGAACCCAGCCATTGTGCCTCAATGCAGCATTGCACAATAAAAACGGCATTAGTCAGTCACCACTGGATTCAAATCAATCAATCTCCCCGTTCCGGTTTCTCCCTACGCACACCAAACCCATCACCACCAAAAAAACGCCCTGCGGTATCGGAGCTCACCGTCAAACACATCAACCCAGATCACAATCTGACAACGCCAAGCACACTTTCTCAGCTCTAGTCGGCCCTCCTAGTCTCGGGGCGACTACCCGCAACAATTAATTGCCTGCATGGATTGCCGTTGTCTCGAGCCGCGGCCTCGGAATAACTAGGCTCTGCACTCCCTTCTCACCGAACGTATATACGCTGCTCTCTCGGCGATGTCAGGAACCCCATTTCTTTTGTTTTTGGTTTTGCAATTGAATTGTGCAATGCTAATACTTGGACGTAACTGACTCTATCTTCTCCCTGATGATACGCTGTCCCGACAAATCAACTTGCGATATACATGATCCATAGTCGTATATCTTCCCTCCACATTACTGACGCAAAACGGCATTGCAGAATCATAAAGGCAATCATGGTGATATACCATGAACCCCCACGCATATTAGTCCATACATGAACATACACATACGAGTACGCATGCTTCGCACTCGCTCCAGAAAACGCCATCCAATGATGGATACATACAAATACAGCCATTCTG